GGATTTCCCTATTGAGGGGCATGCATGCTTTCCATTTTGCTATGTCTATGTGTAGTGAAAATTCCTGATTTTTGCAACAGCTTTGATTGCATTTACAATCACACCAACATGTGAGTTTGAGCAGTTAGTGGCTGTGTGGCATGATGCAGCCACCTTTGCCAGGCAGTGGTGTAGCAACATGGCAGTTCCTATTTGCCATATGCCTGCTTGGGCCAGACCCCAGCCTCCAGAGAGACCCTCCCCTCCGTGTCCGGTCACCCCACAGTGGGAGTGTGTGCCTATGTCCTCCCCGCCTGTCTGGGGCTGTGCTCCCGCCCCAGGCTCCACTGCCTCTCAAAGGTGGGTCAGCACAGACCCTGCCCATGAGCTGTTTCTGGACAGGAAGCTCTGCATGGAGAGTGCCCGCTCGGCGATCCTCATGCTCGGCTGATGCTGTCATGCAGAGTGGTCGATGTCCAGGTGACAGTGAATTATCGAAGGAATGCAATGTGGGGTGATTCAACCCCAGGTTAGAGACTGAGTTCTTCTGCCCACCTGGGGGCTGCTGTCCCTGTCTCAGGTGCTCTCAGTGATTGCCCAGAAGGAGGTGGTTCTTAGAGCCAGGGTGCCCCCAGAGAGGGGTGCATGCATCCTAGAAGGCATGCAAGTCAGTTCACTGGGGTTTTGGAAGGAGACATCTATGATAGCTTATGTGGCAGCTGACTGGCCCTGGGTGCCCACATGTTTGCCCAAACGTGATTCCAGGTGTGTCTGTGAATGAGACAGCATTTGAGTCGGTGGGCTGAGTGAAGCAGATGGCCTCCCCAGTGTGGACGGCCTCATGACTGTCGAGGGCCTGAATAGGAGGGGTCCAGCCCCTACCCACCTGCCTGGCTGGTGAGCTGGGACATCTATGTTCTGCCCTTGTCTGCCCTGTTTCTCAGGCCTTTGGGCTTGAGCTGCGTTACACCCCAGATATCTGAACTCCCAGCTTGCAGAGAATAGGCAGGGGACTTCTCAGCCTCCACAACCACATGAGGCGATTCCTCTTAATAATGCCCTTCCTGCATGTCTGTACTGTCCTGCCATCTTTGCTCTGGAGAACCCTAACACCGCATCAGGGAGCATTCTGAAATTTAAGAAACACACTTCCCTAAAATTGGAAGATGCCACTTCCAGGATGGAGGCAGGGGTGTCACTTCCTGGGCAGCATGAGGCCAGTGCCAACATCATGTGGTTGTTCGTTTTGAGTGAGCACATCTTTGATTCCAGGCACCAAGTGGCCTCTGCCGGTTTGCTTGGTTAGGCTGAAACCAGGCCTCACTTTGGGGGTCACCATCAGAGTCCCCGGTCCTTCACCATCAGTGGTAAGAGAGTTATCTTGGGTTCTGCTCTGTTTACCAAAGGACAGCACTCCTGGGAGCCCTTCTGATATGCCACGTAGCCCACAGGTGCACTAGGTACACAGTCTCTGAGACGTCAGCTTCCTTATTTTGTCCCTTTAAGGCAGTAGTCAGATTTTTGACACATAAGAAGGGAAATGTCTCCTGAAGGAACCTATGCAGAAGAGAGAACATTTTTAAGTTGGATGTTGGTTGTGCTTTGTCACTTGACTGGAATAATGTGTGTCTCTAGGACAACCAATACTTAGTTTTCTGGAAAATCCTACAGAAAGAATACTTTAGTGTGTTTTCATCTTACGCACTGTGAAAAATATGACAGTATAACTTCTGCTTTGTTCATAAGATGGACATTTATTAGTCAATTTTCAACAGAAACCTTTTCATCTGTGGGTGGATTCAAAACTAAACAAGAATTTAGGACAGAAGCTACCCTGACAGGCCCTAAATCTAAGTGAATTCTGAGTAGATGGAAATAAGCTGAACTGAGAACCAGAGCTTTCATCACAGAGTGACAAAGCAAGGTTCTTTTTAAAAGCCGCAGCATACTCAGAGGCATGGCTTTCATTTAAAATATTAACATCAACACTGTTTTGGACAGAGCAAACATCTTTGTGCCGTCCGTAAATAAAACTGTTGTTTTAAAAGTATTATGTACTTCCTCTTTATCTCTTCCTTCAAAAAACTTCCTTTTGTGTCACTCATTCACACGTGTCAGCTATGCGCAGGTGCATGTTCTCCGCGAGGGGCCTGATTTCCACCTGATGCTTTTCCTCCCTCAGCCCAGCTGCTGAGCCCCTCTGAATGTTGCCCACGGCTGCACCGCCTGCTTGTGGGCCTGCGCTGCTCCCAGGTGGCCTGCAGCTTCTGGCTCCTCCTGCCCTCCCTGCTGCCTGACCATTGCTTTCAGGCAGAGTGAAGCCCATAGCTGGCAGCACTATGCACTTGAATGCCTATTCCTAGAACGTGCCCCAGAGGAGGCCGCCAGCCCGGCCTGGCATCCCCTCTGCTCAGGAGCATCTTCGTGGCTCCTGTGGCCTGAGACCTCTGCAAAATACCTTTGGGAATTGCCCCTTCTTGCCTTAACTCATAGAATTCGTAGTGAAATCCAGGAGCATGTAGCTGACCAGTTTGCCTGATGCTGTCACAAGGATGCCACAAATAAATGACACTTTCCCAGGCTTACTCGGCTCCACTTGCTCTCCTAACTCTTTGACCCAGAGGGGTGATGCCTCTCAAATTGGATATTTTACACTCATATAACATCAGGGAAAGAAGAGCCTGTCCCCAAGCTATGATGTGGACATGACCCAGGGTGCCCTGCCTCCAAGCCCGGCCCCTGACAACCACGGGCATCAGCGATGCATCTCTGTACTGTTGTTATTCCCCTTGGGGGTCTGGCTCTCCTGAATGCTGATGCCCACCTAGAGATACTCCCCAAGCTGTCCTTCATAGGTGGGGCTTTGAGCCAGGTGCCCAAGCTGGGGTGAGTGACCAACTCATCCATGGCTTCTGTTTCTGAAGCTGGCACACAGACACAGACTGCTAGAGGGATTTTGCTGGCATCACCTCTTAAGCCCTCAGGGTGGCCAGGGGGCAGGCATCACTGTTGGTTTCTTTGGTCTCTGCAGGTCCCTTGACCAGGGACTTGGGCCATACCTGACACCTGCTGAGCCGTGTCCCCCTGGCAGGGTCCCCTAGCCTCGTCCCCTGCTCCAGAGCATTGGTGCTCAGCCTGGCTCCTTGGTGCTGGTCTGTCCCACCCCCAGGTCCCCAATGCTTCCTCCTTGTCCCCTACTGGAGGTGGAAAGATTCTAGGGTCAGTAGGAACCTGGGGAGGTGTGAGTCACCTGTGTGGGCATTGCTAGTGAGAGTGCTTGGGGGCATATCAGGGGCTGCCTGGGGCTAGTGTGACCTGGGAGTGGGCACATGTCTCAGAAAGACCTGATATAGGCATTAGGTCCCCAGAAGGTGGCCAGGGAAGACCCTGGAAGTAGGGGTGAAGCCCCCAATTGTCTGTCCTTTGAAAGTTCCAGCTGTTGGCGTGGTGACTTACCCAGAAATTGGTGGACCTTTTCAGTTCCTGTAATAGTGATTTAGTCACTGTCAGGTAGAGCTGGAGAAGAGCCCAGTGTAGTCCTTCAGCACAGCTGAAGTTCAATTTGGATGATTAGACAGAGGCATGTTCCAAAGAAATGATTCATGAGGCTGGTTAAAGGTGGTGAAGCAGAAACTATTCAAGACAGTCAGGACATGGTGGGGGAGAGTGCTGAATCCAGCAGGGGCAGATGAGGTTTACAGTCATGGAGTAGATGGGGTCAGAAAATGGAAAATTACTGAGGAAACATCAGGGGTGAGGGGTCCTGGCTAAATTGACCTAACAGGACTCATGCTGAAGGTAAGCCAGTGCAGTCAGACATTACCTGGGGGTGGAGGGAGTGAGGAACCCATCATATGCCCAGTTGGTCAGATATTCAGCTGATTGGATGCCCTGGTGATGAGATGCCCAGATGAGGAGGTATCCAGGTGATGAGATGTCCAGGTGGTTAGAGGTTCAGGTGACCAATGTCCAGGTGATTGATGTCTGGGTTATCACATGTCTGGTTGACTAGATGTCCAGGTAATCAGATGTATAGGTTATTTGGATGTCAAGTTGATTGGATGTCTAGTGATGAAATATCCAGGTGATAAGATGTCCAGGTGGTGAAATGTCCAGGTAATGAACAGTGTAGCTGGTGAAATATTCAGGTGATGAGATGTCTAGTTGGTGAGAAGTCCAAGTGATCAGATATCCATATTATTGCATGTCTGGGTGATTATATGTCCAGGTGATGAGATATATAGCTTATCAGGTGTTCAGAAGATCAGATGTGTAGGTTATTTGGTTGTCCAGCTGGTCAGACATCCATGTGGTGAAATGTCAGTGTGATACAATGTCCAGGTGGTGAGATGTCCAGATAATCAGATGTCCAGGTAATCACATGTCCAGGTGACTGGATGTCCAGGTGATGAGATATATAGGTTGTTTGGATGTTCAGGTGATCAGATGTCTGGGTTATCACATATCTGGGTGATTAGATGTCTAGCTAATTAGATATCAGGGTGATGGGATTGTATAAGTTATTTTGATGTCAAGTTGATCAGATGTCAAGGTCACTAGATATCCAGGTGATAAGGTGTCCAGGTGGTGATATGTCTGGGTGATTAACAGTCCATGTGATAAGATATCCAAGTGGTGAGATGTTTAGGTGATGCAATGTCCAGGTGGTGAGATGTCCAGGTCATCAGATCTTCAGGTGATTGGATGTCAAGGTGATCAGATGCATGGGGGGGAGGGGGGGAAGATGTCCTGGTGATGTGATGTCCAGGTGATACAGTCCAGATAGATGTCCAGGTAATTGGGTGTCTCGGTGATGTGATGTCCAGGTGTGAGAGGTGAGGATTGGTCTTGTAACTGACTTAGCAGGTTCTTGCTGAGACTGGATGACACTGAGGGGCAGAGGGTCCTGGGTCAGGGCAGGGTGGGAGGCTTGGGAGCAGGTGGACCCATCAGGTGAGCCTGGTCCTATGGAGCGTGGCAGCAGAGACGCAGGCAGTGACTAACACGGGCACCCCCACCAGGCAGAGGAGGAGCGAGAGGACATGGAGAAGGTGAAACTGGACAACAAGAGGATCCTGTTCAACCTGCTGCCAGCCCATGTTGCCCAGCACTTCCTCATGTCCAACCCCCGGAACATGGTGAGTGCAACTATGGCACCACCTTGACCTGGCCCAGCTGGGTGCACCACCAGGCTGCTGTGATGGGAAGAGGTCTGGGGCCTGAGGCCCTACCAGAGTGACCCCATGCCATGACTTCTCTGCTAACCTGTCACAGTGTGGCTGCACTGAGGTTGAGTGGACCCTGGTACCCACCTAGAGGCAGACAGGTCAGGGCCTGGTGCCCTGTGCTCTGGGAGAGAGCATGGCACCTGTTGCCCCATGTGGGAGAGATGCTGCAGGAAGCCATGCTCAGAGATCTGGGTTGGCCAAAGCTTCCTAATTGCCATCCCTGCTGGAAGCAGCTCAGGGACCGCAGATCAGGGTTCCTAGACACCCAACCAAACACAAAATGGCAGGTCTGTGCTTGAGGCCCAGACCCTGAGGCTTGGCCTGGCCAGCTTTCCTGAGAGCATCCAGTGCTCACCTTCTCTGGCTGGGCCTCCAGCTGTGCAGGGCGCACTGTGCTCCCTATGTGCCGCCCAGCCCATGCAGAACCTGGGCCTCCATGAGGGTCCTGGTGCCCTCAGAGCCCCTCCTCCTCAGTGTGGAGGCCTGAGCCTGTCCCCCCACTAACCCAGTCTTTGGCCCCCAGGACCTGTACTACCAGTCATACTCACAGGTGGGGGTCATGTTCGCCTCCATCCCTAACTTTGATGACTTCTACATCGAGCTGGATGGCAACAACATGGGTGTCGAGTGTCTGCGCCTCCTCAATGAGATCATTGCTGACTTTGATGAGGTAGGGTCTCCCCATGCCTGGCTGGCATGCATTCTTTCCCCAAACCTGAGTTGTACCCAGCAACGAGCACTCTCCCTATGCATGGATGGGAGATGCACATGCTTTTGTCTCTGTGGGAATCCAAACTGACTGGGACAATGAGGAAGGGTCTTTGCCATGGGATGAGGTGGGCACCAGACTCTGGAGGGGCATGGGCACCTGTCACCTGTCCCTTACCTTGTCCCCTCCAGGATGGGTGGACAGGCATCATTCATCTGCCAGTCCTGCTTCCCTCCACTGGGCCCATTCTCCTCTGCCTGTTGACACTGATCATCTGTGGGGGGACTGGGATGCATTCCACAGGTTCCTCCCTGGATCCTCTTTGAAAAAGCCTCTGCAGAATCCCCTTGGGTCTAGGCTTACTCAGTTTGGCCCCAGACTTTGCCTTGTGCCCACAACAGAGGAGACACATTGCTTTCCAGAATGTGTTTGTCCATTCTGCACTTGCTCCTGGTGGTGGTGAATTGTCTTAAGTGTTGTGTAACATTTAGCAGTTTCATGTTTTAAACAAAGCTCATGGACAAAGACTTTTACAAGGACCTGGAGAAGATCAAGACCATTGGGAGCACCTACATGGCTGCTGTGGGGCTGGTGCCCACAGCCGGAACCAAGGTGAGCACTGCCTGCTCAGGGACTGGGTTCCCGCTCTACCCCAAACTGCCCTAGCACCTGGACAGGCTCCCTGCTCTGAGCCTCCATCTGACCTCTGCATTGGATTAGGGTAGTGACCAGCTTTCTGCAGACACAAGGGAGGTCAGGAGGGAAGTGGCATAGGATGGGTGCTGAATCCATGCTGGGTGCTGGGAACACAGCCACAAGTCTAACTCATTCCGCAGCTGCCAGGATTTCCCATGAACCTATGAGTGGGGCTTTTCTGATAGACCTAGGGTAGGAGGGCTCAGAATATCTTCTGTGTAGAAAAACACCAGTGGTCTGGGAGCTGCCATCTGCCTGCAGCACAGACCCTGTGCAGCATGACGAGCACCACACCACTGAGTGGTACCCAAGGAGGAGGATGTCCTCCCGACCCTGAGCACACCGTTCACTTGCAGGCCCTTGGCTCACTTGCAGGCTAAAGAGCTTCCATCCTACCAGTGAGGCACCTGCGTCTTCCTCCCAAGTATAGAAATTGCCACCTCATTTCCTTCCTTGTTCAAAAATAGAGCAAAACATTGCTAGACCCAGGAAAATGGGGCCTTTTGCTTCAAGGTATCTGTGACTGCAGACCCCTCTGGCCCCAGTGTCACTGGATTTCCCTATTGAGGGGCATGCATGCTTTCCATTTTGCTATGTCTATGTGTAGTGAAAATTCCTGATTTTTGCAACAGCTTTGATTGCATTTACAATCACACCAACATGTGAGTTTGAGCAGTTAGTGGCTGTGTGGCATGATGCAGCCACCTTTGCCAGGCAGTGGTGTAGCAACATGGCAGTTCCTATTTGCCATATGCCTGCTTGGGCCAGACCCCAGCCTCCAGAGAGACCCTCCCCTCCGTGTCCGGTCACCCCACAGTGGGAGTGTGTGCCTATGTCCTCCCCGCCTGTCTGGGGCTGTGCTCCCGCCCCAGGCTCCACTGCCTCTCAAAGGTGGGTCAGCACAGACCCTGCCCATGAGCTGTTTCTGGACAGGAAGCTCTGCATGGAGAGTGCCCGCTCGGCGATCCTCATGCTCGGCTGATGCTGTCATGCAGAGTGCTCGATGCCCAGGTGACAGTGAATTATCGAAGGAATGCAATGTGGGGTGATTCAACCCCAGGTTAGAGACTGAGTTCTTCTGCCCACCTGGGGGCTGCTGTCCCTGTCTCAGGTGCTCTCAGTGATTGCCCAGAAGGAGGTGGTTCTTAGAGCCAGGGTGCCCCCAGAGAGGGGTGCATGCATCCTAGAAGGCATGCAAGTCAGTTCACTGGGGTTTTGGAAGGAGACATCTATGATAGCTTATGTGGCAGCTGACTGGCCCTGGGTGCCCACATGTTTGCCCAAACGTGATTCCAGGTGTGTCTGTGAATGAGACAGCATTTGAGTCGGTGGGCTGAGTGAAGCAGATGGCCTCCCCAGTGTGGACGGCCTCATGACTGTCGAGGGCCTGAATAGGAGGGGTCCAGCCCCTACCCACCTGCCTGGCTGGTGAGCTGGGACATCTATGTTCTGCCCTTGTCTGCCCTGTTTCTCAGGCCTTTGGGCTTGAGCTGCGTTACACCCCAGATATCTGAACTCCCAGCTTGCAGAGAATAGGCAGGGGACTTCTCAGCCTCCACAACCACATGAGGCGATTCCTCTTAATAATGCCCTTCCTGCATGTCTGTACTGTCCTGCCATCTTTGCTCTGGAGAACCCTAACACCGCATCAGGGAGCATTCTGAAATTTAAGAAACACACTTCCCTAAAATTGGAAGATGCCACTTCCAGGATGGAGGCAGGGGTGTCACTTCCTGGGCAGCATGAGGCCAGTGCCAACATCATGTGGTTGTTCGTTTTGAGTGAGCACATCTTTGATTCCAGGCACCAAGTGGCCTCTGCCGGTTTGCTTGGTTAGGCTGAAACCAGGCCTCACTTTGGGGGTCACCATCAGAGTCCCCGGTCCTTCACCATCAGTGGTAAGAGAGTTATCTTGGGTTCTGCTCTGTTTACCAAAGGACAGCACTCCTGGGAGCCCTTCTGATATGCCACGTAGCCCACAGGTGCACTAGGTACACAGTCTCTGAGACGTCAGCTTCCTTATTTTGTCCCTTTAAGGCAGTAGTCAGATTTTTGACACATAAGAAGGGAAATGTCTCCTGAAGGAACCTATGCAGAAGAGAGAACATTTTTAAGTTGGATGTTGGTTGTGCTTTGTCACTTGACTGGAATAATGTGTGTCTCTAGGACAACCAATACTTAGTTTTCTGGAAAATCCTACAGAAAGAATACTTTAGTGTGTTTTCATCTTACGCACTGTGAAAAATATGACAGTATAACTTCTGCTTTGTTCATAAGATGGACATTTATTAGTCAATTTTCAACAGAAACCTTTTCATCTGTGGGTGGATTCAAAACTAAACAAGAATTTAGGACAGAAGCTACCCTGACAGGCCCTAAATCTAAGTGAATTCTGAGTAGATGGAAATAAGCTGAACTGAGAACCAGAGCTTTCATCACAGAGTGACAAAGCAAGGTTCTTTTTAAAAGCCGCAGCATACTCAGAGGCATGGCTTTCATTTAAAATATTAACATCAACACTGTTTTGGACAGAGCAAACATCTTTGTGCCGTCCGTAAATAAAACTGTTGTTTTAAAAGTATTATGTACTTCCTCTTTATCTCTTCCTTCAAAAAACTTCCTTTTGTGTCACTCATTCACACGTGTCAGCTATGCGCAGGTGCATGTTCTCCGCGAGGGGCCTGATTTCCACCTGATGCTTTTCCTCCCTCAGCCCAGCTGCTGAGCCCCTCTGAATGTTGCCCACGGCTGCACCGCCTGCTTGTGGGCCTGCGCTGCTCCCAGGTGGCCTGCAGCTTCTGGCTCCTCCTGCCCTCCCTGCTGCCTGACCATTGCTTTCAGGCAGAGTGAAGCCCATAGCTGGCAGCACTATGCACTTGAATGCCTATTCCTAGAACGTGCCCCAGAGGAGGCCGCCAGCCCGGCCTGGCATCCCCTCTGCTCAGGAGCATCTTCGTGGCTCCTGTGGCCTGAGACCTCTGCAAAATACCTTTGGGAATTGCCCCTTCTTGCCTTAACTCATAGAATTCGTAGTGAAATCCAGGAGCATGTAGCTGACCAGTTTGCCTGATGCTGTCACAAGGATGCCACAAATAAATGACACTTTCCCAGGCTTACTCGGCTCCACTTGCTCTCCTAACTCTTTGACCCAGAGGGGTGATGCCTCTCAAATTGGATATTTTACACTCATATAACATCAGGGAAAGAAGAGCCTGTCCCCAAGCTATGATGTGGACATGACCCAGGGTGCCCTGCCTCCAAGCCCGGCCCCTGACAACCACGGGCATCAGCGATGCATCTCTGTACTGTTGTTATTCCCCTTGGGGGTCTGGCTCTCCTGAATGCTGATGCCCACCTAGAGATACTCCCCAAGCTGTCCTTCATAGGTGGGGCTTTGAGCCAGGTGCCCAAGCTGGGGTGAGTGACCAACTCATCCATGGCTTCTGTTTCTGAAGCTGGCACACAGACACAGACTGCTAGAGGGATTTTGCTGGCATCACCTCTTAAGCCCTCAGGGTGGCCAGGGGGCAGGCATCACTGTTGGTTTCTTTGGTCTCTGCAGGTCCCTTGACCAGGGACTTGGGCCATACCTGACACCTGCTGAGCCGTGTCCCCCTGGCAGGGTCCCCTAGCCTCGTCCCCTGCTCCAGAGCATTGGTGCTCAGCCTGGCTCCTTGGTGCTGGTCTGTCCCACCCCCAGGTCCCCAATGCTTCCTCCTTGTCCCCTACTGGAGGTGGAAAGATTCTAGGGTCAGTAGGAACCTGGGGAGGTGTGAGTCACCTGTGTGGGCATTGCTAGTGAGAGTGCTTGGGGGCATATCAGGGGCTGCCTGGGGCTAGTGTGACCTGGGAGTGGGCACATGTCTCAGAAAGACCTGATATAGGCATTAGGTCCCCAGAAGGTGGCCAGGGAAGACCCTGGAAGTAGGGGTGAAGCCCCCAATTGTCTGTCCTTTGAAAGTTCCAGCTGTTGGCGTGGTGACTTACCCAGAAATTGGTGGACCTTTTCAGTTCCTGTAATAGTGATTTAGTCACTGTCAGGTAGAGCTGGAGAAGAGCCCAGTGTAGTCCTTCAGCACAGCTGAAGTTCAATTTGGATGATTAGACAGAGGCATGTTCCAAAGAAATGATTCATGAGGCTGGTTAAAGGTGGTGAAGCAGAAACTATTCAAGACAGTCAGGACATGGTGGGGGAGAGTGCTGAATCCAGCAGGGGCAGATGAGGTTTACAGTCATGGAGTAGATAGGGTCAGAAAATGGAAAATTACTGAGGAAACATCAGGGGTGAGGGGTCCTGGCTAAATTGACCTAACAGGACTCATGCTGAAGGTAAGCCAGTGCAGTCAGACATTACCTGGGGGTGGAGGGAGTGAGGAACCCATCATATGCCCAGTTGGTCAGATATTCAGCTGATTGGATGCCCTGGTGATGAGATGCCCAGATGAGGAGGTATCCAGGTGATGAGATGTCCAGGTGGTTAGAGGTTCAGGTGACCAATGTCCAGGTGATTGATGTCTGGGTTATCACATGTCTGGTTGACTAGATGTCCAGGTAATCAGATGTATAGGTTATTTGGATGTCAAGTTGATTGGATGTCTAGTGATGAAATATCCAGGTGATAAGATGTCCAGGTGGTGAAATGTCCAGGTAATGAACAGTGTAGCTGGTGAAATATTCAGGTGATGAGATGTCTAGTTGGTGAGAAGTCCAAGTGATCAGATATCCATATTATTGCATGTCTGGGTGATTATATGTCCAGGTGATGAGATATATAGCTTATCAGGTGTTCAGAAGATCAGATGTGTAGGTTATTTGGTTGTCCAGCTGGTCAGACATCCATGTGGTGAAATGTCAGTGTGATACAATGTCCAGGTGGTGAGATGTCCAGATAATCAGATGTCCAGGTAATCACATGTCCAGGTGACTGGATGTCCAGGTGATGAGATATATAGGTTGTTTGGATGTTCAGGTGATCAGATGTCTGGGTTATCACATATCTGGGTGATTAGATGTCTAGCTAATTAGATATCAGGGTGATGGGATTGTATAAGTTATTTTGATGTCAAGTTGATCAGATGTCAAGGTCACTAGATATCCAGGTGATAAGGTGTCCAGGTGGTGATATGTCTGGGTGATTAACAGTCCATGTGATAAGATATCCAAGTGGTGAGATGTTTAGGTGATGCAATGTCCAGGTGGTGAGATGTCCAGGTCATCAGATCTTCAGGTGATTGGATGTCAAGGTGATCAGATGCATGGGGGGGAGGGGGGGAAGATGTCCTGGTGATGTGATGTCCAGGTGATACAGTCCAGATAGATGTCCAGGTAATTGGGTGTCTCGGTGATGTGATGTCCAGGTGTGAGAGGTGAGGATTGGTCTTGTAACTGACTTAGCAGGTTCTTGCTGAGACTGGATGACACTGAGGGGCAGAGGGTCCTGGGTCAGGGCAGGGTGGGAGGCTTGGGAGCAGGTGGACCCATCAGGTGAGCCTGGTCCTATGGAGCGTGGCAGCAGAGACGCAGGCAGTGACTAACACGGGCACCCCCACCAGGCAGAGGAGGAGCGAGAGGACATGGAGAAGGTGAAACTGGACAACAAGAGGATCCTGTTCAACCTGCTGCCAGCCCATGTTGCCCAGCACTTCCTCATGTCCAACCCCCGGAACATGGTGAGTGCAACTATGGCACCACCTTGACCTGGCCCAGCTGGGTGCACCACCAGGCTGCTGTGATGGGAAGAGGTCTGGGGCCTGAGGCCCTACCAGAGTGACCCCATGCCATGACTTCTCTGCTAACCTGTCACAGTGTGGCTGCACTGAGGTTGAGTGGACCCTGGTACCCACCTAGAGGCAGACAGGTCAGGGCCTGGTGCCCTGTGCTCTGGGAGAGAGCATGGCACCTGTTGCCCCATGTGGGAGAGATGCTGCAGGAAGCCATGCTCAGAGATCTGGGTTGGCCAAAGCTTCCTAATTGCCATCCCTGCTGGAAGCAGCTCAGGGACCGCAGATCAGGGTTCCTAGACACCCAACCAAACACAAAATGGCAGGTCTGTGCTTGAGGCCCAGACCCTGAGGCTTGGCCTGGCCAGCTTTCCTGAGAGCATCCAGTGCTCACCTTCTCTGGCTGGGCCTCCAGCTGTGCAGGGCGCACTGTGCTCCCTATGTGCCGCCCAGCCCATGCAGAACCTGGGCCTCCATGAGGGTCCTGGTGCCCTCAGAGCCCCTCCTCCTCAGTGTGGAGGCCTGAGCCTGTCCCCCCACTAACCCAGTCTTTGGCCCCCAGGACCTGTACTACCAGTCATACTCACAGGTGGGGGTCATGTTCGCCTCCATCCCTAACTTTGATGACTTCTACATCGAGCTGGATGGCAACAACATGGGTGTCGAGTGTCTGCGCCTCCTCAATGAGATCATTGCTGACTTTGATGAGGTAGGGTCTCCCCATGCCTGGCTGGCATGCATTCTTTCCCCAAACCTGAGTTGTACCCAGCAACGAGCACTCTCCCTATGCATGGATGGGAGATGCACATGCTTTTGTCTCTGTGGGAATCCAAACTGACTGGGACAATGAGGAAGGGTCTTTGCCATGGGATGAGGTGGGCACCAGACTCTGGAGGGGCATGGGCACCTGTCACCTGTCCCTTACCTTGTCCCCTCCAGGATGGGTGGACAGGCATCATTCATCTGCCAGTCCTGCTTCCCTCCACTGGGCCCATTCTCCTCTGCCTGTTGACACTGATCATCTGTGGGGGGACTGGGATGCATTCCACAGGTTCCTCCCTGGATCCTCTTTGAAAAAGCCTCTGCAGAATCCCCTTGGGTCTAGGCTTACTCAGTTTGGCCCCAGACTTTGCCTTGTGCCCACAACAGAGGAGACACATTGCTTTCCAGAATGTGTTTGTCCATTCTGCACTTGCTCCTGGTGGTGGTGAATTGTCTTAAGTGTTGTGTAACATTTAGCAGTTTCATGTTTTAAACAAAGCTCATGGACAAAGACTTTTACAAGGACCTGGAGAAGATCAAGACCATTGGGAGCACCTACATGGCTGCTGTGGGGCTGGTGCCCACAGCCGGAACCAAGGTGAGCACTGCCTGCTCAGGGACTGGGTTCCCGCTCTACCCCAAACTGCCCTAGCACCTGGACAGGCTCCCTGCTCTGAGCCTCCATCTGACCTCTGCATTGGATTAGGGTAGTGACCAGCTTTCTGCAGACACAATTTCCTAGGAGTCAACACAGGCCACTCACAGGGCCTTCCTCTAGCCCTGTCCTCTGGCCCCCTCCCTATCAGTCCTCCTTCTCCCCACTGGCCCCCCTCTTTCCAATGGCCCCTCCCTGCTGGCTCCACCCCTATCCTGCCAGCCAGGTGCCACAGAATATTCATTTCCCTTTCCCAACACAGAATTATGTCCCCACATTACCCCTAAAAAAGTCAGAAAGAGAGAGGAAAATGTTAAAAATAAAAGCAATGAATGGAAAACAGTTATAAATATGGGAGATACTAATCCAACTGTATCAATAATCCTTTAAATGTGAATAGTGAATACACCAATTAAAATACAGGGACTGACAGAGTGGTTAAGAAATCAATGCCCAATTAGATTTTTCTCAAGAAATGCAGTTTAAATATAAAGACACAGATGCACTAAAAACAAAGAATGTACAGAGATACCATGTTAGCACTAATAAAAAAATATTCAGGTAGGTATTTAACTTCAGACAAAGCAAACTTCGGATCAAGGAGAATTACCAGACAGAAATAAAGAGAAGCATGACATAATGATGGAGTCAATTCTCCAAGAAGACATACAATCTTTAACGTATATGCACTTAGTAACAGAGTGTCAAAATATCAGGTAAAACCTAACAACTGCAAAGAGAAGTAGATGAATCCACTATCACAGGTGGAGACCAGTGCCTTTCACCAGTAACTGGTGGATTCAACAGGCTGGAAATTCATATAAAGTATATTCTCAGAACAGAATGGAATTAAACTAGAAATCTGTTGCTAGGAGATCATTGGGAAACAACAAAAATATTTGGAAATTAAACAGCACACATCTTTTCTGAGTCAAAGAAAAAAACTTCAAGAGAAATTGTAAAAAATATTTTTAAGTAAAAAGAATGAAAAAATATTTAGCAAAATATATGGGATGTAGCAAAAGCAGCATGTAAAGGGAAATTTATATCATTGAATTCATATATTAGAAAAGAAGAATAATGGAGAATCAATAATCTGTCTCCAGAAACTGGAGAAAGTAAAGCAACAGAAACCTAAAGCAGAGAAAAAAAAAATCAGAGTACAAACTAATGAAACAAAACAGTAATAAAGAAAATGAACAAAGTCAAAAGCTAGCTTTTGAAAAATCAATAAAATGTATAACCTCCTGCCAGGCTCACCAAGAAAAAAGAAAACACAAGTTACTAATGTTAGAAATAAAAAGGGCCACTGTAATGAACTAATGGACACTAAAAAGATAATAAAAGAATATTATGCACAACTCTAGGCCCACAAATTTCATAACTTAGATGAGATGGAACAATTCTTTGAAAGACACAATCTACTAAAACTCAAACAAGAGGAAGTAAATAATCTTAATAGTATTATATCTATTAAATAAATATAATCAATAATTAATAACTTTCCAAAGCAGAAAGCACTGGACAGAGATGGGTTCACTGGTGAATTCTACTAAACATTTAAAGAATAAATTATGTCAATTATTTAAAATCTCTTCCAATGTATAGAAATACAGGAAATAATTCCTGACTCATTCTCTGAGTCCAACATTACAATAATACCAAACCAGATAAAGAAATTAAAAGGAAGGAAAATTACAGGCAATTACTCATGAATACAAATACATAAGCCTTCAACAAATATTATCCAGTTGAGTCCAACAATGTATGAGAAGAATTATACACTTGGATTTACTCAAGATATACAAGGCTGGTTCAACATATCAAAATAAACTGATGAAATGCACCATATCAAAAGAATAAAGAAAAGAAATGATTATATCAATTGATGCAGAAAAGTCATTGACAACATCCCATGCCGATTCCTTATTTAAAATGAAAAGTCAGCAAACTCTAGAAATAAAGGGATGCTTCCTCAACTTGATAAAGAACATCTACAAAAAACCTGTAGCTTAACATCTTAACATCATATTTAATGAGAAACAAATGCCTTCCCCCAAAGATCAGAAATAAGGCAAGAATGCCCTTTCTCACCAGTCGTATTCAACATCCATACTGAAAGTGCTAGCTAATGCAATAAGACAAGACAAGGAAATAAAAGGTATACAGACTCGGAAGGAAGAAATAAAACTGTCTTTATTCACAGATAACATTATTGTCTATGTAGAAAATAAAAATAATTGACAAAATAATTATAATAAGTAATTACAAGTTCGCAGGATACAAGATTGATACACAAAAGTCAACTGCTTTCCTATATACTAGCAATGAACAAAGTGGAATTTGAAATTGATAACACAATACTATTTACATTAGCCCTCCTTAAAAATTACATAGTAGGTGCAAATTTAGCAAAATATATATATCTCCATGAGGAAAACTATAAAGTTGATGAAAGAAATCAAAGAGGATATGAATAAGTGGAGTGATACTCAATGTTCCTGCATGGGAAGACTCAATATTGTTAGGATGTCAGTCATTTCCAGCTTGATCTGCAGATTTAATGCAGTCGCAAGCAAAAGTCCAACAGGTTATTTTATGTTATTGACCCACCAATCCTAAGTTTGCATGGAGAGGCAAAAGACCCAGAGTAGTTACACAATATTGGAGGGTAAGAACAAAGAAGTAGAACTGACAGTATCTGACTTCACAGCTTCCTATTAAGCTACAGTAATCAAGACAGTGTGGTACTGGGGAAAGAGCAGACAGTAGATCAGTGGAACAGAATAGAGAGCCCAGACATAAGCCCCCATAATATAGTCAACTGATCTTTGACAAAAGAGCAAAGACAACATAATGGAACAAAGACCATCTTCGACAAATGAGGCCAAAACAACTAAACATCTATATATGTTTTTTTTAATGAATCTAAATACAAACCTTACACTCTTCACAAAAATTAATTCAACATGGATCATGGACCTAAATGTACAACACAAAACTATAAAACACCTAGAAGATAACTAGAGAAACCTAGGTGACCTTGGATTTGGTGATGAGCTTTTAGATACAACACCAAGACATGACCCATGAAAGAAAGCTGTGTTTGTCAAAACCCGTAGAATGTACAACACGTACATAGAGTGCACACTAACGCAAACTGTGGGCTTCAGTTAATCATAATGAGTTAGTGTAGGTTCATCAATAGTAACAAAAGTACCAGGCCCTAAAACAAGATGGTAATAATAGGGGAAGCTCCCCTGAGGGGTGGGGAGAATGCATATATTGGAACTCTCTGTACTATCTGCTCAGTGTTCCTGTAAAATTAAAACTGTGCTAAAAGAATCGTCAGTTAATTTTAAAAACAAAAGAGTTCCCCAACATTGAGGAGTAGTGAAATATCCCCCAAAACAAAAAAGAGAAACCTTGATACCATTTTTAAAATAAAAAAAATACTGTTGTCATTGTTACACAAAAGAGAGGCTCTTTTAGCACCACAATTTGAGGAGAGGTTCTCCTGTGAGGCAGTTGGATGGCTCCCTCTGGGGGACCTTGTTTTGTTGTGTATGATGGGCTGAGACCATTGTCTGAGTAGGAGTTGGGATGTCTGGTCTCCCACTCCAGGGCTGCCCCCACACCTGCAGAGGGCTTGGCCTGGGCTCAGATGGCCCTGGGTGCATCCAGGCTCTGCCCCCAGGAGCCTCTGTGTCTCTGCATCACCCACTGCCTGTGGAATGGGCCAAAGAAGCACCATGCCAGCCCTTGCTTACATCAGGGGGCTGCTGTGCTGTTGGGGTGGGGTCTGGCCCCTGGTGCCTCAGAGTGAAGGCTGGGCCCCTCACCCATCACTCTGTCAACCTCCAAATGTAACCCACGTGTGCTCACCTCCAGGCTAAGAAGTGCATCTCCTCCCACCTCAGCACGCTGGCGGACTTTGCTATTGAGATGTTTGACGTCCTGGATGAGATCAACTACCAGTCCTACAACGACTTTGTGCTCCGTGTGGGTAAGTAGCCCAGCTGTTGTTCTCCGTCCATGCACTGTTCCTATTCCTGCTTGGGGGCTACTTTAGGGTTCCATCATCTAGTGGCCTTAATGAAACTTGGGTGCTGGGCTTGAGCTTGGGGGTGAGCCCTGTCCCCAGGAGCTGGAGCCCAGATGTGCTCAGTTGCATGCTCCATTTGGCCTGGGCCTGGCCTGAGGTGCCTGCTGGTGGGCACAGTGCCTGCTGTGCCCCACACCTGCATCCAGGCCTCCCCCTTTGGGCCACAGGCTCCCATCAGTAGATGAGGTGATGACAGGATCTGTGGGTCCTTCTGGGGAATGCTGTCCTCACTGTCCCACGGGGACCTGGCAGGTGAGCTGGCCTCTGTGCCACATGGCTGGTCACATAGGTGGGTGTTCGGTCTGGCAGGTTGGGGGCTCTCTAAGTACCCCCAGCCACCCAGGAAGTGGTTCCTCTGGACAGAGCTCCCCTGGCTCACACCTCCAGTCATACCTCCCCACTTCCCATTCCACCCCGGCACCTGAGGCCAGGTTGGGGTTGATGAGGCTGTGGCTGAAACATTATTAATGCCCTTGGCTAAGCTCAGAAGTGTGGATTCTTGAATTCAAAATGGGAAGACATGATGTGGTGTCAGCTGGGACACAGTGTAGGGGTGAGCAGGGGCACCCAGGCCTTGTGGCATTCCCCGTGCCAGTCGACCCTGAGCCACAGAAAGGGAAAGGGCCTCTATTCCTCACCTCAGAGTGCCCCAAGATACTGTGAATATTTCTGGGCCCCACACCCTAATACACCTGAAGTGATACCCAGGGAAACAGGAGCTACCTTCTGGAAAAAGAGCCTCGGTGGGGACACTGCAGTCCCACAGACTGAGAGTCCTGGAGACTGAGACTGCCTTCTGGGCAGCAGGACTTAGTATGGGGCTGCTGTCCTAGGAGACGTCCCCTGTCAGGACCAGGACAGGCTGCCTGCAGGGTGGTGTGCAGGCCCAGGCCTGCAGCCGCCTCTCCACGGTGCAGTGAGTCCCTGATTTAGGAAGGGGTTTGCTGGTGCCCTCAGGCATCCATAGCCCAAAAGGGGCAGCGGTTCCTCAGAAGCTTTCCTGATGACCAATAACCATGTCACACTGTGGCTTTTCCAGGCATCAATGTTGGACCCGTGGTGGCTGGGGTGATCGGGGCTCGCAGGCCACAGTATGACATCTGGGGAAACACAGTCAACGTCGCCAGTCGGATGGACAGCACTGGAGTCCAGGGCAGAATCCAGGTCAGTCACTCATAGTCCCCAGGGTGTGGGAGCTCCGGAAGGCAGCAGAAGCAGGGGTGAGCGGGCAGGACCAGGCTGGACAGCCCACATCCCACACCCTTCCTCCATGCCTGCCTCTTCCACAGCCATAGGGCAGTGTCTGTAGTCTGCAGGCAGGCCTAGGGCTGGATTGCCATTTGGTTTGCCCTGGGGCCCTTATGTGACCACGTGCAGAGCTGGGGGCACAGTGTGACGGTCCCAGTTGGCCTTGCTGCTCCAGGCTCCTCCAGCATCCCCAGGACCCTGCCCACATGCCTGCTGCCTTAGAAGGGAAGGGGCTTCCTTAGGGACTTCCTCGGGTGCTGTGGGGCCCCCTGATCAGGAACCTGTGGGCAGCTCTCAGAGGATGACAGCTGGATGGCTGTAAAACCCTTCAGAAGCCCTCCTAAGGCTTAGAAGACTGGCTTCTGGGTTCATGGTCTGGGGTGCAGAAGTTGCCAGAGTCTTCCTTAGAACAAACGTGCAGCTTGAGCCCACTGGCCACCCTGCCTGAGCACTGCCAGCCTCTGGGGGCCTCAGGGGAAGGTGTCTATCCCGGTGTGGCTATGGCTGGCCTCTGGGGACCTATAGGGACAAGGTGAATGCAGAGTGATCTCTGAGCGTGGCTGGTCCCTCCTGCTGTGGCCTGGCCATGAGTAGTGGCTTGTCTGAGGCCTCCATGTGCCCAGCACCATGCCACCCTATTAGCACACACTGCTTCATGTGCCAGGGGAAAGTTAGTATCAAGGGCGAGATGCTGTTAAGTGCTGGTCCTCCCCCAGCACCACGAAGGGGCTTGTCCTCTGCAGACCTTCCAGATATGTGCCTTCCCAGGTTTTAAGAAAGGCACTGGGGTATAGTTCACCTTGTCACACTATCCCCTGCCCCATGCTGGTAGCCCCCACATCTGGGCCCACAGAGGCACCAGGGGCCCTGGCTGGTTGGTTTAAACCCCACCCACATGGAGGGGGTAGAAGCCTGTGTTGTTCTGACTGCAGGCAGCAGATCCCCCTCCAGCTGAGCGTCTGGGTTGACTGTGAGTACGGAGACCTCTGGCCCAGAGATCCCATCCCGCTTGCCTATGTCTGCAGCTGGAGCTGGTTATATGCAGGCATCTGGCTGGTGTCCAGGGCACCCATGCCCAGCTCTGGGCAGTTTGGGCACTCCGTATGGTGAACTCTGCCTTCTTCTGCTTATCTGGGGCCAACAGGAGGTGGATCCCAGGCTGGCCCCATTAGGGGCCTTCTATGTGCCCTGACTCTCTTTATGGGTTCATAAACTTTGGGGACAGGCATGGTGGGTGAAGGAGGGAGTCTTCCTTGGGGTCCTGCCCCAAGGATCCCCTGCTGACTGAAAGTGGTGACCACCCCTCCTCTCAGGTGACTGAGGACGTCCACCGGCTGCTGTGCAGAGGGGCATACCACTTCGTGTGCCGGGGGAAAGTCAGTGTCAAGGGCAAGGGCGAGATGCTGACCTACTTCCTGGAGGGCAGGATCGACGGGAACAACTCCCAAACCAGGGCCATTGACGCCAAGCGGAAACTGTGTCCTTACGGAAGAGGCAGCCTCCAGTCCCAAGTGGCCATGGGCCGGCCCCCAGTGTCCCCTGCAGCTGGCCTTCCAGTCAGAGCTGGCCTGGGGGCTCTGCAGGGCTCAGGGCTTGCTCCCCCAACCCCCAGCCAGCACCTACCCCCTGGAGCAGCTGGAAAGGAGGCTTAGCGGAGCCCATGCTAGCCACTGGGGGCACAGGGCAGAATGCTCAGGGCCTTGGGGCTCAGGCAGGGACCAGCCCAGCCAGCAGAGCAGAGCCAGCAGAGCGGAGCCAGGGCCCGGGAGCCAGGATGGGGAAGGGGCTGTGCAACCGTGACCTGAAGCAACTGAGCAGTGACCCAGGTGAGGGAGAACCTGCCAACAGGATGCTGCGGCTCTCCTAGGAGCTGTGGCTGCTCTCACCTTTCCTTGGCAGCAGAGGGGCAGCTGCCTGGGACTGGCTGGATAGGCCTAAGAAAAGGAGCTTCAAAACATCCTCTAGGGCTGCAGGAGAACCATGCAGGTCTGGCCCACAGATCGTGCCCTGAGTTGGAGCTGCATCAGCCCCATGGTGCTGGGTCCTGCACAGGCAGCTCCTGCAGGAGCCCCAAGTGGGAGTCAGGCCTGGCCAGGCAGGGCCTCGGGGGCTGGGACCACACCCTATCCTGGCTGGGTCTGAGGCAGGAGGACTGGACAGCATGCAGTGCAGCCCCATCTCACCACACAGATGGCAGTGATGCTGGCTTTCTTCAAGAGTGGCGTTTTGCAGATAGCCAGAGGCTGGCCTGGCTTCTTGGGGGCCCTGCAGCCTCATCTCTCTCACAACCAGCATTATTCCCCTTCTGCCAGAGTGTCGCCCCCACCCTGCCTGTGAGCATGGGTTTCCATGAGCCCTGGACCTTCCCCTTCTCTGCCCGCAGTGGGTTGCTGGAGGGAAAAGAGGTGTAGGCACCATCTCTTACCAGTGCCACAGCAACTGGGGGCCTGTGTGTGGAGCAACAGCACAAGGCTGCATTGGTTTTGAAACCAGTGAATCAGACCATGAGAAAGCTTCCTGAGCAGCACACGTTGCTTCTCTGCCAGCACCAGCCCCTACGTGGTGTTTCTAGTTTGTTTATGGCCATCCAGCCAGTGTCCCTGCTTCTGTCTGCAGGAAGTGACTTCAGGCAACTCTGTGGCCATCCAGGAGTCACCCTCATGGGCTTCTCCACAGTTACTTCACCGCTGGAGAGCCAGGACATGCTGGGGGCACATGGAGGCCTCAGATTTCCACCGAGGGATGAGGCAGCTTGAAACTAGCAGGAAGGTTCTGGAAAGGCAAGTCCAGAGGGGGATGGATGTCCAGAGACCCAAGTCTGTGACACCCAGCCAGGAGGGTTCTGGGAACTGCAAATGACCCAGCCTCACTCAAAGCCAGTAGGCCTGAGAGGCCCTACTCACTGATTCTCAGAGTTCCACCCCTCTCTGGAGGACCCCACTAAGGAGAGGAGCCGGAGATCACTCAGGACTGAGCCTGTGGGCACAGGTGGTGGTGTCCTGCACTGCCCCCACTGTGAGCATGTGACATGTGGCTTCCTATGCAGGCAGGTTCCACCCCTCCACCCCCAGCCATATCACCGAGCAGGGCTCTGCTGTAGCCGAGGGAGGGACTCCTCATGGCAGGCAGCATGATCGGCTGCCAGGTCCCATATGGCTGGGCTAGCAATGCAGGACTCGGGACAGAGGTGGGCAGGTTGGGTGACCTCTCCTCCTGCAGTTGAGAAGCCTCCTCCTGAGAACCAGCTCCATGCAGGGCCAACAGTGGCCATCACCCTGCACAGAAGGACTCAGTGACCTAATTCCATGCCCCTCTGCATTTAGGGACCGAGTCACCACAGGAGTGCCATCAGCATGTGGCTTGTGCTGGCTGTGTGAACCCTGCCACCAGCCTGCTGGTCATAGCCAAGCCGCCACAAGGACAGTGCAGGGGGAGGGGACAGCACAATGGTCTGACCCTGTGACTCTGCACTGTCACACAGCAAAGGGGGACTCTGCAGGTGGAATCAGGGGCACAGGCCTTAAGTTGGGGAGAGGGTTCTGAGCTATCCAGGAGGGCTCAGGGTGATCAGGGACTCCTTAGGAGTGTGTGAGGCAGGGTGGTCAGGACGATGCCAAGCATGAGGTCGTGGAAGGGGCCATGGCCTCTGCCTGCAAGGAGGATGCTGTCATTCCCACAGCCAAGGCACAAATTCAATGTTGGCCTCTGGGTGAGAGCTTGCCGGCCACACCAGACACCTGCGAGACTCTCAGAAGTTAGTCTGGCTCAGGTCCAGTGAACTGTGAGCCCCACTGCCTACCTTGACAAGGCCAGCTGTTACAGAATGACAGGAGGCCATCTGGGCCCCGACTGCAAGGGGGTGGCCAGATGGCGGCCGTGAGGGCTGTTGGCACTGATGGCGATGCTCCTTCATCAGCAACTCCAGGACCTCTCGCTTCCCATGGGCACAGGAGGCGTTTAGCCATACGTACCTTGGGGTCTGATGCACAATGACTTCCTTTTAATTCGTGATAAAATGTGTGATACTGCCTTATTTATTTCAGTCTTGTACAATACTCATGTGCAGATGTTAGAGCCATTCGAGTAGGATTGTCCCCAAGTTATTTACTTTAAGATGCCCTGTAAATAACACACCTGTTGCAGGTGCCACTTGTCCACTCTACCAAAATGAGAAGAGCCCACTGCCCCTTGTGAATGGCACACCTTAGCCAGATGTGTAATGTTACTAATGCCCTGCATCCCTGCTTGGTGAAACTTTGGCACTTTGGAATAATCCCATGTTCCCTTGTTGACCCTTGCATGCCTCTTGTAGTCTAGAACACAGCCTCAGTTCCAAATGCTTCCATGGACTGTCAGCTCTGGGCTGGTCCACTCCACCGGGGTCTGTGTCCTGTAGGATGGCAGTCCCCACAGACCCAGCAGCTGGAGCCTGTCTTCTTTATCAGCCTCCAAAGCCACCAGGGCTTCCAGACACCTTCTGTCACTGAAGCAATAACTCCAAACTGTAGAGACAAGTCTGTTCCAAAGCATGTGGGGAATTCAGACATAAGCCATGCTCACAAGCTGAGCAGTGCCATGGGGGCTGACAACCCCAGAGCCTCCAGCCCTTCCTGCAGACCCAGCTTGGGTACCTCACTCTGGGGCCTTGCTGTCATACCCTTAGTGTGGGGAGCAGATTGCCAGCTTTGTCCCAGATTAGATGTCCTCAGGGAGGGCACTCCAGGTCCACACAGATCCCAGACTCTGGCTCTTGCATCTTGGTGCATGTGTAGGGTGCTGTCTGTGGGGAGCTCAGCCCTCTGGCCAGGACGCCTGTCTTCCATGGTTGATGTGTGGGCTCTGGCATGGACGGGAGCCAGCCAGCCTCAGAGACACCAGGCTGTTTCCCTCTGATAAGAACACCATGGCATTGTCCCCACAGAGGCCTGGGAATAGTATTAAATCCCTGCTTTATGCTGCCCCTCAAGAGGGAAGCATTGCTTGACCTGTCAGCTCCATGCCTGGGCTTTTCCCCAGGTGGGGGGACCCATCTCAGTTCCAGGGCATGCCCGCCCTGCACATGTGTTCCTATGATTTCCTGAGTATGGAACCTTGCTAGTCTCCACCTGTGTGGCAGGCCTGCCCATGACATGTGTGCACGGCAGGTGCCCTGTCAGTGCACCTGCGGGCAGGTGTGGTTACAGGGAAGGGCTTGTGCTTGTGAGCTCTCTGATGAGGGTGGATAATTCTGAAGTGTGCAGACCTGTGAGTATATATAAAGTAATCCTCAGTGGCTCAATTTAAAAAACAGCAAAACTAAAAAAAAGCAAAAAAGTAGCCTCCTTAGAGGCAATTGGTTTCAAAATGTTTGGTTTGGTGACATAACTAAGGGGCAAGCCACAGCTAGCTGGGCCCAGACAGCCTGCCTCCCCAACTGAGATTTGCTTTGAAGGTTCCCACTGGCAGCTTTCATTTGAAGCCCTGGCTTCTGCAGCAAGTAGGTTGGGAAACATGTGGCCTTTCCTCACACAGTATCTTGAGGTTTACATTTGGCTTCATTAGTCATAGGCTGAGGGTGGATTTAAATCACATTCAGGAACTGCTGGGGTGGGTGAGGCCAGAACCTGAGGACCCCCTCCTGGAGGGTGGGGAACAGGGCAGAGGCCTGAGGATGAACTCAGAGCACAGGTTTGGTCCCAGGCCTTTGCTGGCACCCGGCCCCTGGGAGCACTGATAGGCAGTCCCCCAGAGTGAGGTGGGCATCCATGATTCCACCTACATTGATGGTACAGAAGTGGAAGGCAGGCCCTGTGCCTGGAGATTGTGTAGGTGGGGGGCGGGGGGCACCTGGAGCCAAGTGTGGGAATGTAAGGGCCTAGAGAGCCTCCAGGAGCAGATGGGATGAGGGCCGCACGCATAAAACCATGTAGGGCCTCTCAGCTAGTTGCCTTGGGCCCAGCTAGTGGCTAAAACCCCTCCCAAGAAGTCCAGTCCTGTACCCGGCAGACAGTTGTGCACTCAGGGTCCAGGCCTCCTGGAGAAGGTGTCCAGTTTTCCTTTGTCTTCTTGTGTGCACACATGCTGGAGGCAAGTCCTGGGAGGCCTTGGGGAAATTTGCTACTTCAATGTCCAGTTCATGAAAATACATCTGATTTCAGGAGCCACATTTTGGGGCCAGACCTCCCTAAACAACTTAACTTCATGGTGATGACTTACATTTGTATTTCCTAATTTCCCTGAAAATAGAACCCATCTGCTCCACATGGAATGTGTTCACTAAGATAAGGCCACACTTAATTCAAGTCTGTGTGTGTGTGTGTGTGTGTGTGTGTGTGCACGTGTGTGTGTGCATACGTAGCATAGCATAAACAAAATAGAAACCAGTTATATGTTCCTGAGATTGAGATGGATTCATACAGGGAACAAAATTAACTTGGAATACAGTCAGATGACTGGCATTTGGTGAATCTGCCCCTGAATGCTCAGACTTGATTTCCCTTCGAAATCCTGACCATGGGAGGACTGGAAGGGGTGGACAGAGGCTGTCATTTCCCCCACGTGGTGCTTCTGTGTCCAGCAACTGCTGAGTGTAAGAAAGTCTCTTTTCTGGACTGATTGCACATCAGTGCTGAAGCCCAGGCACACAGATGGCCTTGTCTGCTCTTGTTTGTGTAGTCATTTTATTTTAGCATTTATTTGGCTTTTGGAAAATGTGGAGGCCTCAGTCAGGCAAGAAAACAAGAGTAGGTGAGTGGCTTTTTTGGGGTGTGGGCTAGAAAACACTTGGGCCTTCAGAATGCCATCCAGTGGAAGCCACCTGGCATTGACCATTGTCTCCAGTAGGGCCCTCGTTCCTGGGTGCAATCATGTGGGCTCCCTGCACCTCACTTGCCATGGCACCTGCTGCCCTCCTAACCATAGGGAGGGTGGGGCTGCTGTCCTGTCTAGGACACACCTCTGCGAGGCTTCCCCCATGAGCACAGAGGGGGAAGCTGCACAGCACTGAGCCGCAGGCAGGATTCACCCATCTGTCCCATCCCTGGTTCCCACCATGTCCATGGCCCTGTGCTGAGTGAAATCACAGCATTGTGTCAGTTTGATGGAGCCCACGAGTGTGTGGGGGTCCCTGGAGGGCTGGTCTGACCCATAGTCAGGTCCTGGATGTGCCTTGCATGGCCAGGCCTCACTGAGACCTCATCTCTCTGTGAGAATGGCACGTCCTTTTGGCTAAACCTTGTCCCTCCTTCAACAGCTGATCCCACAGGGACACAAACTGTTTGGGCTGAGAAACCCATTTTGTCTCCATGTCTAGGGACCACTCTCCTTCAGCAGGGAGGAGAGCTGCCTTTCTGTCCTTTTCTTTCTCTTTTCGTAAGGCCTCTCTGACATCAAATGGAGAACTGGGAGGTGGACAGAGGCTGTCATTTCCCCCACGTGGTGCTTCTGTGTCCAGCAACTGCTGAGTGTAAGAAAGTCTCTTTTCTGGACTGATTGCACATCAGTGCTGAAGCCCAGGCACACAGATGGCCTTGTCTGCTCTTGTTTGTGTAGTCATTTTATTTTAGCATTTATTTGGCTTTTGGAAAATGTGGAGGCCTCAGTCAGGCAAGAAAACAAGAGTAGGTGAGTGGCTTTTTTGGGGTGTGGGCTAGAAAACACTTGGGCCTTCAGAATGCCATCCAGTGGAAGCCACCTGGCATTGACCATTGTCTCCAGTAGGGCCCTCGTTCCTGGGTGCAATCATGTGGGCTCCCTGCACCTCACTTGCCATGGCACCTGCTGCCCTCCTAACCATAGGGAGGGTGGGGCTGCTGTCCTGTCTAGGACACACCTCTGCGAGGCTTCCCCCATGAGCACAGAGGGGGAAGCTGCACAGCACTGAGCCGCAGGCAGGATTCACCCATCTGTCCCATCCCTGGTTCCCACCATGTCCATGGCCCTGTGCTGAGTGAAATCACAGCATTGTGTCAGTTTGATGGAGCCCACGAGTGTGTGGGGGTCCCTGGAGGGCTGGTCTGACCCATAGTCAGGTCCTGGATGTGCCTTGCATGGCCAGGCCTCACTGAGACCTCATCTCTCTGTGAGAATGGCACGTCCTTTTGGCTAAACCTTGTCCCTCCTTCAACAGCTGATCCCACAGGGACACAAACTGTTTGGGCTGAGAAACCCATTTTGTCTCCATGTCTAGGGACCACTCTCCTTCAGCAGGGAGGAGAGCTGCCTTTCTGTCCTTTTCTTTCTCTTTTCGTAAGGCCTCTCTGACATCAAATGGAGAACTGGGACCCCCAGACACCCCATACCTCCTGCCCATGAATCGCTGTGGGAGGCAGTCGGTTGAGTTTGCTGTCTCTGCGCCATCTTCCTTCATGTAGTGCCACCCAGGGGCACTGTCACCTTGCTGACCTGGTGTGGACAGTCAGGGTTTCTTCCTGGGGCTTAGAGAATGTCCAACAGCAGACTTCCCTGATGGGGCTCAGATGGGTAGTGAGAAATTGGTAACCACAGTGTCCATGTCTGTACCCTCCCCAGGTCCTGGCTCCCACAACACCTGTGGCTCAGACCTCAGATGGGTTGGTTTCCAAACCAGCTTGCGGTCACTGAGAATTTATGTTTAAACAGGGAGGATCTGGACTACCCCCAAAAGACCTGTCCACCTCTTGGGCTCACTGCTGATGTGCGGGATGGCCTGTAAGCAGAGCTGCTCAGCACACTCCCGAGGGTCTCATTCCCCTCAGCAGGCAGGGGGCAGTCAGCCCACCAGCAGCCAGAACTTGCTTCCTACCTCCCACCAGCAAACCCCCTGCCCCAGCCCTGGGCCCCAGCATGGAGCACATGTCTCAGGGGACCATTCCCACATTCCGGGAATCCCAAGGAAGCCCACCACCACCTCTCGCATACATGGGAGGTGCCAACACACCCTGAGCAGCTGTCCTGGGGAGGCGTGCAGTTCTGCCTTCGTCCCTGTAAAAGCTGGACACACAGCCATTTGTACTTGGGCTTGCACACCGTGAAATTCCTGTGTGAAACTTAGTTGAACCCACAGCTTGTGCCAAATGACAGGCTCACCCTGGGCCACTTGCCAGCAGGCTGCAGAGCACCCCTATGACACAGCGGATCCTGGCATCTGAGCTTGTGTCACTCTGGCACTAATTATGCAGTGACCCCCTGAGCCCAGAGCACCCCCACCCGTTAGTGTACACTACCTTGCACACGCAGAGATAATGTACCCTGTATGACCATCTCCTAACGGTAGCTTCCATTCCCTTTTGGGATAAACCCAGAGCCTGCACCTGGATTTCTTTACTCACAAGAAAGATCATGTAAACTCCTAACCCTCTGTGTTTGGCTGGATGTGGCTGTGACCCTCCTTGGAGCACAGAGTGGGTGCCAGGGGGGATGTGTTCTCCCTTTAGGCTGCGTCCCTGGTTGTGGACATGAGGTGGCTGTCAGAATGACAGCCCCGTGTCACTGGTAACTTCTCATGATAGATTTGTATCATCAATACGGGTCTATTTTTATGTCAACTGAACACTGTAGAGAACCTTCCAGTCTTTTCCAAGATTGTTAAATTGAGACAATTAATTGACTAATTTGTCCTATTTTTATTAAAAAAAGTGAATGGACTGAAATGCTAACTGTGAATGTACATTTCTTAATTGCAACTTTTCTACTGTGTTTGCACTATACTTTCTGGGATCTTATTTAACAAAAATAAAGGAAAACATTGCTTGACTATACTCTGTAGCTGTTTGAATTGAAAAATGGTTGTGGGAATGTTTTAAAGATGTCAGCCCCTCTGACTTACCTGGCAGGGGGAGGCTTCTAGCCATTTCCTGGGATCCCGTCCCCCATCATCCCAGATTGCCGTGGGCTCTGCTGCTCGCTCCTGAGAATAAATTGAGACAATTAATTGACTAATTTGTCCTATTTTTATTAAAAAAAGTGAATGGACTGAAATGCTAACTGTGAATGTACATTTCTTAATTGCAACTTTTCTACTGTGTTTGCACTATACTTTCTGGGATCTTATTTAACAAAAATAAAGGAAAACATTGCTTGACTATACTCTGTAGCTGTTTGAATTGAAAAATGGTTGTGGGAATGTTTTAAAGATGTCAGCCCCTCTGACTTACCTGGCAGGGGGAGGCTTCTAGCCATTTCCTGGGATCCCGTCCCCCATCATCCCAGACTGCCGTGGGCTCTGCTGCTCTGCTCCTGAGAAGCCCCACAGCGTGACAGGTGGAGCGGTGCCTGGATGCACTGCAGCTTGCAGCTCTCGCTGGTCAACAGGAGCCCAGGGAAGATGACCTGATAGTTTGCAGTTTCCCACAGCCAGCCTCCCTTGGACTGAGTGTCCTGGTCACAGAGGGAGGGGCCCAGGTTCCTTGGTGTTGGGGCTAACCCGACATCCTCACTCTCGGCCTTTTCCACTGTTTCTTTTTCAATACTAAATTAATGAATTTTCCTAAATCTCACTGTCTCTTAAGCTGTAGTTCCATTCTCCTCTGTCCCTTCAAAACTTTGGGAAAGAGCAGCAGCACCCCTCCCCAGGCTACGTCCCAGGACACTGCAGCCCCTGCTGGGAGTCCCAAGCCATCGACCTGCTCAGCCCCACGTCCCCTCCATCCTCTCCAACCACCCGCACTCCGCAGATGGAAGCTTTCCCCTAGGGTGCGTTTGCCCTTGTTCTGCAGTCTGACACGCTCTCTCCCTCTCACTCTAGATGACCCCCAAGACCTAGACACAGACAAGAGCTGTGCAGACATTATGGCCTGGCTGACCCAGACCTGACAGCTACCCCCAAACAGCCGATAGCATCACTTTCCATATGCACCTTGGACTTTGAAAAGCAAACACTGTTTACCTGGTGTCCCCTCTAGGCCCCTGTAGCTTTCACCAATCACTCATCCCTCAGGCTGCAGGACAGTGTTGTATACAGGAAGCAGAGACTGAACCTCGTGGCTGGACAGCCCTTGCAGAACCAAGTCAGCCCACCAGCGGCCATGATACCACCTGCATGCATCAGCTCACCTTCCTTGGCCACTAGGTGGGAGACACCCTGATAAATTGCCCAATATTCCTCCCTACCTAGCCAGCCCTGTGCCAATGGAGAGGGTCTATCCTCAATGGCTACAGCTGCTGGACTCTACCCACTTCTTGGGGTCACATGACCCTGCATGCAGCCTGGTCCTCCCATGAACCTACGTCTTCCTGTGACAATAAGACCCCCAAACCTATGAAGGCCTCCATCCTTCCAGACACCCCTCCCCTCTGCCAAAGAGCTATCCATGGCTCCCATGCAATAAGGTGGCCAAGTGTCTTCACGTCAGCATTCATGGAAGTGGAGAAATCACACATACACACAGAATTAGGATTTGCCCTAACACTTGGGAGACTGATTGTTAAATTCTGAACTGTGGAAATGAGAATTCCAACAAGAGCCAAGACCAGTTTGAAGAGGAACGAGATTTGCCTCCCTGAGTGTTGATACTGCTCCTAAAGCTCAGACAACCAGGAGCCCAGAAGTACACAGAGCATAGAAAGAGCAGGTACAGATGGGGCAGAAAAGGAGCAACCTAGCAGAAAGATCACCAGAGAGAGGAGTCAGAGCCCCTGAAACCAGACCCCACATCCCCCACTGCCACTCCTCTGGGGTCAAGATCACAGGTGTGGGTGGGGATCTGAGTGCTTGTGGAGGAGCCCACCCTCCCTTGTGGATCTGGGGGCAAGAGTTTTGGCTGGAATTGTGTCCCTGAGAATAATGAAGACAATGGTCTCCCCCCAGGTGTGCAGCATGCTGCCAAGCAGAGGGGCCCATGAGGATTCCCGATCCTCTGCAGGAAACTCCATAGGAAGAAATTTTCTCAGGATGTGACTCATCTGCATCCTGGGTCCCACATGCCTTGGTCTCCCGTGCTGTGTCCTGATGGGTCAGGCTCACCCACATGCCAAGAATGCCATCTGGGGACCATTTTTGAGTGCTTCTGTTAGGAAGAAAAGGACTCAGCTCAGTGTCACAGGGAAGTGAGATATAGTAAGATGAGAAACCAAAGTCAAGAAAGCAAAGTTTAATGCACTCTGCATAGAGCAACAGAGCAGGCCTGCCTAAGGTGAGACAGGCCTAGCTGCTCATTCTGTGGCTTCTTTTATGTGGTTTTGACAGGGCCGAGAAGTCCTTGATTGACAGCTCTTAGCTCTCTAGGCTTCTTCTGATTAGTACAATGAAGACATGGACTGTGCTGTGCCTGTGCTTCTGATGTTTCTCATCTGGGGAGACCCTGGACATTTCCTGAGTCACTCTTGGACCCTGAGGCTTCATCGGATGAACTCTCTGAGTCATTTCTGACTCTCTGGCTCTATCTGATCATCTCCCTGAGTCATTTTGGGGTGGAGGGGCCTCTCATCCTGCTCATCTCTGTCGTTCTGTCCGACACTTTCATCTGTGAGGAACGCCTCTGTTTCTCTGACCTCACTTCTCTGACCTCCTGTTTTGGACGTTGGACAGCTGACATTGGTCCTCTCTTTGGATTTTTTCCCTCCGAGTGTGTTTTTCACTCTTTATGGGAGATTTCTCAATTTTTGTATACCAGTGATGCTATGGCATCAGTCATTGCTGTTATCCTATTTTTAATTTCTAAGACATATCTCATTTGCTGGGTATCTCTCTCTGTGGAATCCTATTATTCCACCCTGTTTCAAGAAGACATGAGCTGTTTGCTGGGGTTTCTATAAACTGCTCCCCACACTGTATATGTATTTCAGGCTTGATCTTTGTGGGTAGGCTCACCCCCCTGTCTTCTGGGTGGGCCAGTGGAGCTGTTCATGGTGCTAGGACACTATGTGTCATGTCTCTCCACAGGGACAGGCCACACTCCCCGAGACAGCCCCTGTCACCTGCAGCCTGGCCACCTTATCTGGGAGCTGCAGTGGGTCCCTCTACACCCTCAGTATCCTGTACACACATGCACATTGATCACCTGGCCCCCCAAACTCCCTTGCTTGACTCCCCATTAGCATCCAGCTCTCAAGGGTAACCACTGTCTTAAAAATACCATATAACTGGGTTAAAAGTCTACAGTGCAAGTGTCTTTTAACCAGAGAATTTAACCCATTTTTAAAAATTATGATTATTGCTAAATTTAAACTTTTTACCATCTTGCTTTTTAATTTTGTTGTCATTTTTCTGTGCTTTCTCCTTTTATTGATTTTCAAATCTTATCCTATATTTCTCTCTACACATGACTTATATTCTCTGCTTCCACTCTAGTGTAAATAGCCCTTGAATATTTTACTACACCTATTTAGAATGCATCAGGACAGCCAGAGGGAAAAGAACATTTTATTTTTTTAAGCATTAAGCTAAATGCTATATTACCCTGTGGAGAAAGTGAAGACTCCTAAAACCAGGATTTCCGCCTGGCCCTCTTTGGTTTGCTCACTCCACATGTGTGAGCAATATGTTGTTACTGACTCTTAATAAAGAGCTCCACCGAGTACTGTGGGCTACTGCACAGCTGCAGGGCTCCAAGTCTGCAGCAGAGCAGAGGCTGGAGTGGTGGCAGCACCGAGGACAGAGACTGAGACAGCTTCAGGGGCAGAGAGGCTGAGGCAGAGACCGGCTTGCTGCATGCAGACCCACTCTGAGTGGACGGGAGTCTAGTGACTGACCTGGCACTTTGGGAATAAAGTTGGGTATAAAGCCTTTCACTCTAAGAATGATCCACTGTCATTTTTTTGGTCTCACTGAATCCGTAGTGGACTTGTCCAGGGCTGAAACCTATTGGCAAGACACCGCACCCCTCAGAATAAACACCACTTGAGCTGTCATCACTCAGCCTAATTACATGCCCTTCATACCCATTATTTTATTCCTATGCTTTTTACAGTCTCACAAATAGGATACTGTTATTTTATTCAGATGACTTCTTAAATAACATATTCTCACCATCTTACTTTTCACCAGCCCTTCTTGCATCTCATAGGGTCCTGCTGGAATAATACTTCTTGTTACATGTTTTCAAAGTTCCTTTAGCTCAGGTCTCATCCAGAAATCCATTTTATGCTCTTCTGTAAGTCTCTATTTCATCTCCCTTCTTAAAATATAAACCCTGAGCACATAATTATTGTTTGACACTTAGTTTCTCTCCAGAGTTGGAGAATATTATCCCATCCAAGTCTAGTTGAGTGTAAGGGATGGGACTGACTTTCCAGGGTTCCCATGGAGCAGTCTGATTGTCCTTTGTGTGTTGTGGGCTCTCCAGAGAAGCAGACCAATAGGGTGTGTGAGAGAGACAGAGAGCAAGCAAGGGACATTTATTTCAAGGAGTTGTCTCTTGTGGAGACTTACAGTTGTGGAGTCAGGCAAGTCCAAAATCTGCAAGGCAGGCAGCAGGCTGGAGACCCAGGGAAGAGTGGATGCTGTACCTTGAGACAAAAGGCATCTGGAGGCTGAATTCCCTTCCACCTGGGGAACCTCAGTCTTTTTCCTTAAGTCCTTCAACTAACTGGACGAGGCCCACCCATGCTGTGGAGGGTGATCTGCTTTCCTCAAGTTTACTGATTTAAATATTAATCTCATCTAGAAAATACCTGCACAGTGACATCTAAACTGGGGTTTGACCAACTATCTGGACATGGTGGCCAGCCAAGCTAGCCGACACATAAAATTACATCATGTATAGTTTTCTCTGATTGTGAGTTTAATTTCAAGTAAAATCAATCCTAATAAGGGGATTAAAAAGTCATTATGGAAAACACACTATCCCAAGAGAAAAAGTATTTACAGAATCCTCAGAGAAATAAATACAACTAAATAAAGAACACAGACACATGTTCAACAGAATTGTCCATGAAAGAAATGCAAATTCAGAACAATGACACACTGCTTCCCCTGTCCATTTGGTCAGTGTTTGTACAGATGTCATACCACCAGCAAAGCTTGGATGCTGCTCATGGGGCTCTGCCCTCCCTTGGTAGTACCCAGCAGAGATCATAAAATGCTAATATACTTTAACTCCATGAACTAACTTCTAGAATGCTTTGTGCCAGGTTATCACAGTATTATTTATAATGATGAAAAACTGGGAACAAAGTGCAGTGGGCTGAATTTTAAAGCTGCCCCAGGATTTCATGCCCCTCACCTCCAAACCGGTGAGTGGGATGAGATCCCTGAATGCGCACTTGGTCACATTACCTGGCACACCAGGTCTCACACCAGCCCTTAAAAACAGAGTAATTCCTCCCACTGGTGGCAGAAGAGGCGGGCTGGTGGATGTGGAGCCCAAACAGCTTCTGTTGTACCCCAGAGGTTGAAAATTGTGGAGGACACGTAAACACAGGAGGCCTTTGGGATCTGAGAACAGCCCCCAGCTGGCAGCCAGAAAGAAACAGGGCCCTGAGATCTACAACCGCAAGGAACTGGATTCCATTTCTGCTATGATTCTGCAGGTGAGAACCCACCTTGACCTCACCTGGAGGGTCCCAGGCAGAGGCCTGGCAGAGCTGCCAGAACTGAGATAATAAATGGATTTTGTTTTGAGCCTCTCAGCTTGTGGTCGCTTATTATGCAGCAGTCAGAAATTAAACACAGTAGAAACCAAGACACTCAGCTAACAGAAACTAATACAGAGACCAAATGTCTGGCAGTGTGGAAATCTCAACACAGAGCACAGGGCATCCTGCAGTAGAACTTGGGCAGGTCCGTCTGGTCCAGTCTCAGAGCCACACTTAGTGACAAAGGGGAGTGCTTAGGCTCTGAGGACAGACACTGTGTGTAAACGTGATCATTACCCTAGGGTAAAACATTAAGTAGAGTGGAGAGGAAAACTCATTTCAACTTAAGAGAAACTGTATCAGGAAGAGTATGCATTTCCTTTCCCCATGTTCTAAACTGTGTTTTTTGCAAATTATGTGGTTTGCATACACAACGAGAGTTAAGGAGATGCTTTTCATTCAAAATGGTGATACAAGTCACCCCTGACCCCATCTCTGAATGAGCATGGATGGCTTCATTCCCCCCAAGGGTTACTGTTTATGGTCTGTCATTTCCCCTAAGACAATGTTCATCTAGAAATCCTGCAGTTTCTCACCGACTGCCCACCCTGAGCTGCCAGCACTGTTGTCTGACTGTCACAGTCTGAGAATGCCCCTTAGGGCCAGCCACACTCCTGCGGGCTCAGACGGTGGCGGCAAGCTAGTGGGACTCCCGTCCTTGTGTGCAGGTTCGGGCTGTGGAGACACTGGCATGGGAATTGTTCCCTCTTTCATGTCCTACCAGCGTCTTCCCATGGACAGAACATTCTCAGTCTATGCTGTTTTTTGACATTTCTGAGATAAGTGCATTTCAAACATGTAACTGGAGGGCCTATGGAGACCTGCATAAATTCCTCTGTGCAAACACAGGAACCCCTTTAATTAACACACACAGGAGAAAGGCAACATAAATATCTAGGAAATTATCTTTCTCATAAAACTGCCTCCTGCATGCCTGTAATTCCCCAGCTTCCAGCAAGTTTCCCCAGAGTCCTTACATTATTCTTCCTTCTCCCTGGTTTCATTCTGAAGGTGAATTTTTCAAAGGATGGAAACAAGACAGAGAGAGGTAACCTGATTACATATCTGAATTACTCTGCATCAGCCAGATTTTAGAAATAGCTCTCATGAAAACTGTTTATTTTTAGCAGTAAGAATGAGAAGGAACTACACTGATTTATCTCCATGTGCAATTGTAGGCAATTTTCATGCTTTATAATTTCATTTGAAGACTTCATAAGCGTTAGTTTTTATAGGCTGATAAATTGTTGTAACAAAAGAAAAAGTGAACAAGTTGATCTGTCAGCTTATAATGGAGGAACCAGCTGTTGAACTCACAAGTGTGTCCATCCACCAGCCAGGAGCGTCAGCAGAGGGGAGTGGGTGCAACCACCCCAGGACTTGTAGCCCGGCCATGTCCGCTCTCCTGGGAAATTTCATCCCTCCTGCTTTACTGGAAACCCCACACAAGTGCAGGAAAACCACGTTCTCACTCTTTAATGCTTTCTGACTGCCCCACGGCTAGACAGCAAAACTCTCACTGGTTCAGTCAAAACAGAACACCTGACCTTGCCTGACCTTAGAGTCTACCTGTCCTATTGTTCCAATCCAGCCTGGGATTCTGTTTCAGGGTGCCCTGCTTTAGGGGTGCCTTATTCTGTTCTAGCAGTCCTGGATGGTGAGCTCATGTTGGGTGGCCTCCTCGATGCTCTGCAGCAGCCAGGCTTCCCACTGCCTCACTCGCTCCATCTGTCAGAGGAAAGGTGTCTCAGATGGTTTGCTCAGCAGGAGAGGCTATGTAGGGAAAGCAGATATCCATGCTGGGCTGCAGAACCCACACGGTCAGCTCTTGGGCACCATCTGGGCTTCTCAGCTCAGAGCTAACCTGGCCAGCCTGCAGGTGCCAGCCACCACCCAGAGGGCCGAGTCTCCAGGTGGGGCAGGAAGATAAGGTAAGGACCAGGGGACCTGGTCTGGCAAGAGCATGAAGGGGCCAGTGGGGATGGGACAGGGACAAGGGGGCCAGCCTGGGCAGCATCTGAGGGCAGAGCGTCTGTGTGGGGCAGTCTAGACAATTTCCCACAGGCCTGAGGAGCCCCCTCTTCAGGAGCTGCAGCGAGGAGGAAGCGGCCTCAGGCCAGAACTAGGAAAGGAGAGGAGGAAGCGGCCTCAGGCCAGAACTAGGAAAGGAGCAGGAGGAAACCTGCTTCTGAACAAGACAGGCTCAGGCTCATAGAAACTGGAGCCTGGGGTACAGGTGGCTGAGCACGATGGCACAGGGTGTGTGTTGGTGCTGGATCACAAAGTACAATGTTGGGTAGAAGAAAGGATGGTGTCTGCTGCCACTGATGTCAGGTTACCACGCATCAGGGTCCTGACCCTGAAAGTGAAAAAATAGAAGCAAACCCAGAAGGGCAAAATGAGGTACAGGAAATGCTGGTGTTGAGGAGTGCCAGTGGGGGCATGGACAATGGCTGGAGTGGGAGCCCGCGACCAGGCAGCAAGCCCCTGGAAGCAAAGGAACTGCCCCTGAAGCAATGCACACAGCTGGGAGTTGGCTGCCCCAACAGAGCACCTGCAGCCTACACAGAAGGGCCGCCTGGGCCCAGGGGCTGTGCTGTCTCTGGAGACCCAGGATGAGCTGGGGGAGGTGAGGTTTTGTGACAATCACCATCCCACAGTGACACCCACAGGCCCCTTCTCTTCTTCAGCTCTGGAATATTCCAGCCAGGCTCATTCTATCCCTCCTGGCGGCAGGGCGGAGCATCAGCCCACAGGGAGGACATTAGGGATAGGACACAGATGCACTGCAAAAGAGAGGCAGTCCTGGTGGTCAGGTCCACACACAGGACTTCTGGTCAGTTGTACAAGGCTGCTCCTCACTAGCTCAGGCACAGTACAGAGGTGTGTGTGGGCCAGCATCAAGAGAAGCTCTGAATGACTGACACCCCCACCAGACAGGAGAGCGAAGCCATGCAGAGGGGGCTGCAAGGCCAACAGGAACGCTTGGAGGGAAAGGGACTTCTGGAGAGCTGCACCATCTGCTGTAGCCTGGAAGCTGGACCCATGCCCCTTCAATAGGGCCTGGAGGGGCTAAATAACAAAAGGTGGAAGCAGCAGTCCAGTGCTCCCACACCCGGCTTCCAAGGAGTCCAGGCACTTCAGCAGAAGGGGCTTCAAAGGCTGCCAAGGAGAGAGCAAGGCTACCTAGAGCTGATGGGGTCATGAGGTGCCCCCAGGACGCAGCCCACCCTCTGGGCATCAGAACCTGGGGGCCAGGGTGTCTCAGCCACTGACCCCTGTGGGGGCAAGGTGGAAGTCTCCCCAGCAATGCTCTTCTGGGGAAACTTCTAGAACATGTAGTCCTTAGGAGATGAGCCAGCAGAGCACTTGGAGGCAGTGTTCACAGCAGGAAGGGGCCAGGGGGCCCTCCACTGACTGCTTGGGACCCCAAGTTTAGGCAGTATGTAAGAAGCCACGCAGAGTCCCAGGGACCCTCCAAGTGGGCATGGGCAGGGCCCAGACATCAGAGAAGCCCCAGTCACATGGCCTTTCCCAGTCCCGGTGACCTCGCAATGCTCAGGAAGTGGGCCCACTAGTGAGGGAAGGTGACGCTGTCTGTCCCAGCTGTCATCATGCTGCCTCCCAGGGGCAGGGCCTTGTCAGGGACCCAGTGCTCCTGGGGGACCCAAATGTAGCCCGGGTCAGCAGGGCCTAGGGGTCTGGGTCAGGGCTTACCGCAGCCGCCAGCTTCTTCAGGTCCCGTCTCCTCCTGCCAGCCACACTGGGGATCCCAGGCAGTCCCAGGTTTCGTGGCCACCTTCCTGCCCGGGCGGACTTTCCCTGTTGCTGCGGCCAGGCGCCCGAGGCTGGTGTGGGCATGTCCTCCTCAGGAGCCCAGGGGTCCCGGTCCGGCCCTACCAACCCACTGGATGCCCCAGAGGCCCAGATATTAGAAGGCTGCCCCTCTTGGCGGGCAGCTTTGGGGCTGAGCCCTGGCTGCTGGGATGGGAGGTCCCAGGAAGCGCATGCAGGCAATGGGGAGGGGACACAGCCCAGAGACTGCCTGTGCTCACTAAGCGCGGCTTCCTCCAGGGTGCTGTGCTGCAGGACCCTTCTCAAGGGCAGTGGACTCGTCTCTGAAAGGGGGCCTTCGTCCTCAGAGGCACTCAGTCCAGAGATCTGTTGAAACAAACTGCACAGGTCGGCTTCTGGAAGGGAGCATCTAGCCTGGCCTGGGAGTGGGGTGTCCTCTGGTTATGCCCTGGGGAGGGGGCAGGCTGCAGTCACACTCACACTGTGTCCACCCATTCGTTCACTAGTTTTGTCTAATAAAAATATTTTTTGGTCAACACTTTAAGCCATCAGTGAAAAATGTGAGTTTTAGGGATAGAACTGAAAAACAGATGACTTTCAGGTAAAAATGTGTTCTTTTCCTCCAGGAAAAAATGTTTAAAACATTGTCAATGTAATCATCCTAACGTTTAAGCTCAACTAAAAAAAACCAATGGACGCTGCAGTTTTGTGCACAGCGAAAGCATATGGGGCAGGCATGCATGCTGACAGGGTGTGATGTTTTGGAAAACTCAATGTATCAATCCCAGACTCAACTGTAGCAACTCCATCATGGCCAGCTTTTTTCTTCCAAAACAAAGCTTTAACTGAACCATTCATACTCCTACGTTCATAGTCTTTTCTCAGTACTGATAAATTGTACTTGGCAAATATTTTTATGTTATCATAACATGTTGATCTCTGCAGTGCTCCTTGAAAACCTTTCATGTCAAGGTGGCTTGACAAATTTAGCTGAACAACTGTTTTTTGTAAGAAGCTCTAATGCATCTTTTAAACATGTTAATTTGTGCTGCTAATGAACACTGCAGTGCATCTAGCCGATTTACTCCCAACTGAGGCAAGCTTCAAAGTATGGATGGATTTTTAATTTTATGTTGAATCCCCCTTATGGAATGGGGGAAAATATTTGCAAACCACAAATCCAATAAGGGCTAACATTCAAAACATATAAGGAACTCATATTGAGGTAGAGCAGGGACATGGGACAAGCAACATAATTAATTTTTCATACCTATGATAAAAAATGCTGAGATATAAATAGTATAATAAGAACAGGAGGGACTCCATCTTAAGGTTAAGATTTCATTTTAAAAACCAAGGAGTTAGGAGGTATGATTCCTAACATATTTTATGATAATCAGACAATTACTGACCCTATCTTAAGGTAGGGCAAGCGGTCCTAAATGATAAATTTCTACTCCTTGAGGGTAACCACTATCTTGGAGAAGAACAAGAGCAATAAATTTCTTGTGTTAAGCTTTTGTGTTAAGCTTTCTTGTGTTTCTTCTGTTAAGCTTATCTAACAGAATATATACAGACCTGACTATGTTCTCATTAAAAGGAGCTACTCCTGAGAATTACCAACCAATAAACAATCACATGTTGATACGTTTTTTGATAAATTGTAACAGTGAAAACTTACAGAGGAAACCATTTAGATTTGCCTTACAAATACTCAGAACAGCTGAGGTAGAAGGAGTATCACTAGGAAGACACAGGATTTCAAATGACCATAAAAGAAGTCTGTCTCTCATTGCATGCTGTTGTTCTGACTCGTTGGCCTTTTAGGAAAAAAACAAAGTAAAGCCATGCCCCTCGGAACACCCTACACTAAAATAAACTACAACGGATTGAGTATTACACTCTTCAAAAATTCATGTTATGAGGAAACAATGGAATAATTTTTAAAAATCTAGAACAAAACTGGAGTTTAATATCAAATCATTCACCAAGATAAATTCCAAAAACATAAAAAATAAAAGATTTCTATGTAAAAAAACAAAGCTATTAAAGTATTGGAAAGAAATACTGATAGATTTCTCTGCAAACTCATCAGAAGTAAGGCTTTCAAATAACCCACAACACAGATGCTGTAAAAGATAGGTTAAACTGAATACAATTTTTTTTTAAACTTCTGCAAGCAAAACAATAATAATAGTCTAAGGGGATAAAAGGACAAACCACAATTCCTATAAAAGATAAACAAGGGGCTAATCATCCTAAAATCTAGGCAAATACCAACACCCTAATGGATAAACATGCAGCAATCCTTAAAAGTTTTTATACAAATGATCTTCCAAACTGTTGGTGAGGAGTGATCTCTGCTTTAGGTATTTCTGGGCAAACGGAGAGAAATACGAATCTAAAGGCATCTGGGAAGGAGCTAAACCTAGCATTACTTAGGGTGGGGCCGGCGGGATACTGTACCCTGGCCATGCTCTTCCCCTTTGAACCCGCCGAGGGATCCCTTGTACCAAGGAGAGAAGAAACCAAGGGCTCCCCGTTGTCCTTCAGGAGGTGCAGGCCGGGGGCTCAGGGTCCCGCCCAGGCCGCCCGGATCTGAAGGTGAGAGGAACCTTCCCTGGAGGCCGCTTACCTGATCTCTATCCCGCTTTTCTTCGCGCACATGGAGCCGCGTCGCAGGCCCCCTCCATCCGCGCGGGCCGGGCCCCAGCCTTGCTCACGGGGGGGAAAGGTCCAGGGGGCTCCGGACCAGGGAAGACGGGTCCCTGCCCACCCGAGCGCGCCTCCCCGCTGGCCCAGACCTGCCCCGCCCTGCAGGCCTACCTGCGCCCCAGTCTCCATCTCGCCTTTCCGTAGGGACTCTTCTGCAGCTCTGGCAAGCCCCGAGCCCTCCTGTGCCCGCGGCACGCACCCCAGCTCCGGGCAGGTGAGCTGGAGCCCACGTGCGCACAGCCTCCACGGGACGACCCCATGGCGGCGCAGGCGCAGGGCGGAGTGGGGAGAGGGGTGCCGGCGGGGGGGGCGGGGGCGAGCCTTGAGGGTCTCCACCTGGCCCGTTCCTCCTGCACCTGAGAGTGCCCGGCACCAGGTAGTCAGGGCCAGGCGCCAACTGACTCCCAAGGAGTGAGCGGCCCGCGGTGCGCTCTCCGCGCACTCTTGAAGTCCTGGAAGAGGAAATCCCTGGGCAAAATACCTCTAAAACTGAAATTAAAGGGAGAAATAAAGTTTAAAACCCGTTTATTGCTCACAAACTGCAGTCTGGGGCCGTCTCTCTCTCGTGCTCAGGCAGAAGTGAACAAGGACCGCCCCCTTACTTCTCAGGTTCAAACAAGTGGTCTGCTGCCCAGGTAATTGCCCACTGATATGGAGATGAACTTCTCTCCACCCCTGAGGATATGCAAATGAACTGAAGCCAGGCCAGATATTCTGGAAATATTACAATTTTATCCACACTCACCAAGTGTTTTACTGTTATCATCACAACCAAAAGGGGTGGACACCATACCCCAACAGAGTACTGGGCAACATTTATGTGCCCATAGCCAGGCGCCCGAGGCTGGTGTGGGCATGTCCTCCTCAGGAGCCCAGGGGTCCCGGTCCGGCCCTACCAACCCACTGGATGCCCCAGAGGCCCAGATATTAGAAGGCTGCCCCTCTTGGAGGGCAGCTTTGGGGCTGAGCCCTGGCTGCTGGGATGGGAGGTCCCAGGAAGCGCATGCAGGCAATGGGGAGGGGACACAGCCCAGAGACTGCCTGTGCTCACTAAGCGCGGCTTCCTCCAGGGTGCTGTGCTGCAGGACCCTTCTCAAGGGCAGTGGACTCGTCTCTGAAAGGGGGCCTTCGTCCTCAGAGGCACTCAGTCCAGAGATCTGTTGAAACAAACTGCACAGGTCGGCTTCTGGAAGGGAGCATCTAGCCTGGCCTGGGAGTGGGGTGTCCTCTGGTTATGCCCTGGGGAGGGGGCAGGCTGCAGTCACACTCACACTGTGTCCACCCATTCGTTCACTAGTTTTGTCTAATCAAAATATTTTTTGGTCAACACTTTAAGCCATCAGTGAAAAATGTGAGTTTTAGGGATAGAACTGAAAAACAGATGACTTTCAGGTAAAAATGTGTTCTTTTCCTCCAGGAAAAAATGTTTAAAACATTGTCAATGTAATCATCCTAACATTTAAGCTCAACTAAAAAAAACCAATGGACGCTGCAGTTTTGTGCACAGCGAAAGCATATGGGGCAGGCATGCATGCTGACAGGGTGTGATGTTTTGGAAAACTCAATGTATCAATCCCAGACTCAACTGTAGCAACTCCATCATGGCCAGCTTTTTTCTTCCAAAACAAAGCTTTAACTGAACCATTCATACTCCTACGTTCATAGTCTTTTCTCAGTACTGATAAATTGTACTTGGCAAATATTTTTATGTTATCATAACATGTTGATCTCTGCAGTGCTCCTTGAAAACCTTTCATGTCAAGGTGGCTTGACAAATTTAGCTGAACAACTGTTTTTTGTAAGAAGCTCTAATGCATCTTTTAAACATGTTAATTTGTGCTGCTAATGAACACTGCAGTGCATCTAGCCGATTTACTCCCAACTGAGGCAAGCTTCAAAGTATGGATGGATTTTTAATTTTATGTTGAATCCCCCTTATGGAATGGGGGAAAATATTTGCAAACCACAAATCCAATAAGGGCTAACATTCAAAACATATAAGGAACTCATATTGAGGTAGAGCAGGGACATGGGACAAGCAACATAATTAATTTTTCATACCTATGATAAAAAATGCTGAGATATAAATAGTATAAGAAGAACAGGAGGGACTCCATCTTAAGGTTAAGATTTCATTTTAAAAACCAAGGAGTTAGGAGGTATGATTCCTAACATATTTTATGATAATCAGACAATTACTGACCCTATCTTAAGGTAGGGCAAGCGGTCCTAAATGATAAATTTCTACTCCTTGAGGGTAACCACTATCTTGGAGAAGAACAAGAGCAATAAATTTCTTGTGTTAAGCTTTTGTGTTAAGCTTTCTTGTGTTTCTTCTGTTAAGCTTATCTAACAGAATATATACAGACCTGACTATGTTCTCATTAAAAGGAGCTACTCCTGAGAATTACCAACCAATAAACAATCACATGTTGATACGTTTTTTGATAAATTGTAACAGTGAAAACTTACAGAGGAAACCATTTAGATTTGCCTTACAAATACTCAGAACAGCTGAGGTAGAAGGAGTATCACTAGGAAGACACAGGATTTCAAATGACCATAAAAGAAGTCTGTCTCTCATTGCATGCTGTTGTTCTGACTCGTTGGCCTTTTAGGAAAAAAACAAAGTAAAGCCATGCCCCTCGGAACACCCTACACTAAAATAAACTACAACGGATTGAGTATTACACTCTTCAAAAATTCATGTTATGAGGAAACAATGGAATAATTTTTAAAAATCTAGAACAAAACTGGAGTTTAATATCAAATCATTCACCAAGATAAATTCCAAAAACATAAAAAATAAAAGATTTCTATGTAAAAAAACAAAGCTATTAAAGTATTGGAAAGAAATACTGATAGATTTCTCTGCAAACTCATCAGAAGTAAGGCTTTCAAATAACCCACAACACAGATGCTGTAAAAGATAGGTTAAACTGAATACAATTTTTTTTTAAACTTCTGCAAGCAAAACAATAATAATAGTCTAAGGGGATAAAAGGACAAACCACAATTCCTATAAAAGATAAACAAGGGGCTAATCATCCTAAAATCTAGGCAAATACCAATACCCTAATGGATAAACATGCAGCAATCCTTAAAAGTTTTTATACAAATGATCTTCCAAACTGTTGGTGAGGAGTGATCTCTGCTTTAGGTATTTCTGGGCAAACGGAGAGAAATACGAATCTAAAGGCATCTGGGAAGGAGCTAAACCTAGCATTACTTAGGGTGGGGCCGGCGGGATACTGTACCCTGGCCATGCTCTTCCCCTTTGAACCCGCCGAGGGATCCCTTGTACCAAGGAGAGAAGAAACCAAGGGCTCCCCGTTGTCCTTCAGGAGGTGCAGGCCGGGGGCTCAGGGTCCCGCCCAGGCCGCCCGGATCTGAAGGTGAGAGGAACCTTCCCTGGAGGCCGCTTACCTGATCTCTATCCCGCTTTTCTTCGCGCACATGGAGCCGCGTCGCAGGCCCCCTCCATCCGCGCGGGCCGGGCCCCAGCCTTGCTCACGGGTGGGGAAAGGTCCAGGGGGCTCCGGACCAGGGAAGACGGGTCCCTGCCCACCCGAGCGCGCCTCCCCGCTGGCCCAGACCTGCCCCGCCCTGCAGGCCTACCTGCGCCCCAGTCTCCATCTCGCCTTTCCGTAGGGACTCTTCTGCAGCTCTGGCAAGCCCCGAGCCCTCCTGTGCCCGCGGCACGCACCCCGGCTCCGGGCAGGTGAGCTGGAGCCCACGTGCGCACAGCCTCCACGGGACGACCCCATGGCGGCGCAGGCGCAGGGCGGAGTGGGGAGAGGGGTGCCGGCGGGGGGGGCGGGGGCGAGCCTTGAGGGTCTCCACCTGGCCCGTTCCTCCTGCACCTGAGAGTGCCCGGCACCAGGTAGTCAGGGCCAGGCGCCAACTGACTCCCAAGGAGTGAGCGGCCCGCGGTGCGCTCTCCGCGCACTCTTGAAGTCCTGGAAGAGGAAATCCCTGGGCAAAATACCTCTAAAACTGAAATTAAAGGGATAAATAAAGTTTAAAACCCGTTTATTGCTCACAAACTGCAGTCTGGGGCCTTCTCTCTCTCGTGCTCAGGCAGAAGTGAACAAGGACCGCCCCCTTACTTCTCAGGTTCAAACAAGTGGTCTGCTGCCCAGGTAATTGCCCACTGATATGGAGATGAACTTCTCTCCACCCCTGAGGATATGCAAATGAACTGAAGCCAGGCCAGATATTCTGGAAATATTACAATTTTATCCACACTCACCAAGTGTTTTACTGTTATCATCACAACCAAAAGGGGTGGACACCATACCCCAACAGAGTACTGGGCAACATTTATGTGCCCATGTTAGCTACAGCAGAGTCAAAAGGTAGGGAAGAGGAGAGCGGCCTGCACCTGTCGCACTCCAAGTCCTGCTGTGGGGAATTTGCCGCCTCCATGTAGTGGTGCTCTGGGTGGGGGGTCTGTGGCTGGCATTTCTGAGGAATCGCAGGAGACTTCCTTAATGAGTGGGAGCAGCAAAGAGTACCGGTCCTCCAGGGTGGAGCTGGGGAGAGCTGCCGGGGCATGCAGTGTGACAGGCATGCTCTCAGCCACAGCCTCAGCCGCGGGAGGACCAGGAAATAGTGACGCTGGTAATACCTAGGTGGCAGGGTGACAGGTAAGTATTAATGTAACTTAAATCCATTTCACTTTTTCCAAAAAGAACTTGTACTTAGTAAATAATAATTAAAAACATAAATCTCAGATGGTACAGTGTGGGGAAGTTGGGGTTCCTATGGCCAGGATCCTCACTGAACTTAAACCACCTGTTGATGTAACTGGCCTGTTGCTGGGCTGCCGCTTCCACACCTGTAGGTAATAAGCTGTTATTGTGCTATATAGAGAGCTGGCCCAGTGCTCTGGGTGGAGGCAGAGATGCTAGTGCTTGACCTACTGCCGGGAGAACAAGCCGGGTAATAAACCCTTTCACCCCAAGAACATTTTGTTGTCGATTTCTTTGGTCACAGATAGGAAACTTGCCCAGAGCTGAAGCCCATTGGTAAGACAATTGGCGAAAGTTGGCAGAGTTCACTGTTGACCAAGGGAAAAGACAGGCTGCCCTTATGGGAGGGGTACTTCAGCGGGCTGCCCCCGTGAAAGGGGAGACAGTGGATCGTCCCCCAATGGGTGTGTGGTCTGAGGTGGCTTGCCTCCTAGAGGGCTGGGCCCCACCCCAGGACTGGAGGCAAGTGGAGGTGACACCTGAGGCAGTAGGGGTGGCTCTTGGTATAGTAAGCAGATCCTTTGAGAAGCAGAGTGCCCCGGAGGCAGCGGGGACTGTGGGTTGGCTGCTTCTCACAGTCTTAAAAAGGTGTACAGAGAGGACCCAAGAAATGGCGGCGTGAGAACGCCAACTGCAAACTTCAGTAGATTCTCTGAGGAGGGAAGTGGCATTGTTGCAAGAGGCGGCATGAGAACGCAAGCTGCAGACTTCTGTGGATGCCCTGAGGAGGGAAATGGCATTGATATGGGAGGAGGCGGCACGAGAGCGCTGGCAGCAAGGTGCCATTGGAGATGAGACAGCAGCACTGCCAGGTGCTCTGAAGGAGGAAGAGGTCATCAAGGAAAAGGACGAACTCCTGAGGGAAGCACAGGAGGAGGTGGTACAGGGAACATCAGCTGTGAAGCATTGAGCTGAAGGTAAGAGACCTTCTGTAGACTGAGGTGGCATTGCTGCGAGGCACAGAAGAAAAGGTAAAGGTTGTAGCAGAGGAGGCATTTGGGGGAAGGGAGAGAAAGGTGCCATCAGTCCCAGAAATGGAGGAGCAGGAGAAGGATGAAGGGGTGGTGCCAGAGGGACTGGTGCCTCCTGTATTGAAAGCACACCCAGTGGTTGTAAAGAAAATAAAGACCCAGCAGCTGGAAGTCCCCCAGGAGAGGAGCAGCCCCCTCCCCAGGTCATGGGGCACTCTATGCTCCGCCCCTATACTCAGGCTGAGCCAGTGTATTTGGACTCCCCTTTTAGGCAGAAGTCTTCGGAGTCAATATCAGCTTGGCTCCTGTGTCTGTGGGACTTAGGGGTGGATGGAATTGTTCTGTCGGGATCAGAGATGGGAAAGCTGGCTTCCCTGACAGTGCAACCCACCTTGAGGCAGTGATTACAAAATGCACATCAGTACCCAGAGAGTCACCCCCTCCTTGATTGGCTTATGGCTGTACTTAATGCTGTGTGGCCCAATCCGGGTGATCTGCCATCCTCTCCTGTTAGATGGCAGACATGCTGAGCTCCAACAGGTGCTATGAGAGCTAGGCATAAGAAATGCCATCTATAGTCTAGAGAAATATAACCCAGATGAAGAGATTTTCACTACTGGGATGAGAAATACTGTACTTCAAATGGCTCCCACATCCTTCTTTGGGTCTCTAGTGGCCATTCTTTCCCCTCACTTAGGGCATCCCATAAGTGAGGTGACATGTACAGTAGCAGACTTAGGAGAGGCTGAAGCAATGAGAATCCGGAATGAAGTAAGACCTGTTATCCATAAGAAGAATTTACAGGGCCCTATGAAGGTTACAAGGACCCAGATGTGGGTTGACTTAATATGGGCAGGAGCAGATGGAAGGAAATTAGAGAGGAAGTCCAATTGGATCTTACCAGAGCTATGGCAACAACTGAAACCAGAGCAGCAGTTCCTGCCATTAAGACCAAAGAGGTAGAGGTCAGAGACAGAGCCATGAGTCTGGCCTGTGTGTTTGTAAGACTTCCTGCTGGAGAACAAGCCAACCTCACTTGAGCCCACACAGGAAGGTGATTGGGGAACACGGTTTGACTGAGGGAAAGGTCAAGGTATCTGCCCTGAGGGACCAGGGGGAACCGAAGGCGACATGTTAAAATAGCTAGCCATTGGTCCCCCATGAACATACAACATGTCCTGGCTCTGGTGGACACGGGATGAATGTTCATTGATTCATGGTAACCCTGAGTGGTTCCCCAGGACCCCCACTATCATAAATGGTTACAGGGAGAAGGCTATCAGGGTGAAAAAAGCCCAAATCCCTTTGGGAATAGGATGTCTACCTCCAAAGGATTATACTGTGTATATATCTCTTATTCCTGAGTATATTTTGGGGATTGATATCTTGCAGGGTCTATGGTTGCAGACCACTGCAGGTGAGTTCAGACTGAGAGTACATGTGGTGAAGGCAGTTCTGAGGGGACATGCTAGGCACCCACCCATAGCTTTGCCTGTGCCTTGGCGGGTGACTAATATCAAACAACACAAACTGCATAAAGAGATTGGAGAAACTCTCCAGGAGCTGGAAAAGGTGGGTATTATAAAGCCCACCCATAGTCCTTTCAATTCCCCAGTATGGCCTGTAAAAAAGCCAGATGGCTCCTGGTGGATGACTGGATTACAGAGAACTGAATAAAGTCATGCCCCCTATGCATGCTGCTGTCCCCTCTATTACAGGCCTGATGGATACCCTCAGCCATGAACTGAAAACATACCATTATGTGGTAGATCTTGCTAATGCCTTCTTTTCCATTGACATTGAACAGGAAAGTCAGGAACAGTTTGCCTTCACGTGGGAAGGATGGCAATGGACTTTCACCGTCCTTCCACAGGGAAACCTCCACAGCCCCACCATCTGTCATGGACTTGTAGCCCAGGACTTGGCTACATAGGAGAAACTGCCAATGATGCAGCTGTACCATTATATTGATGTCATGCTCACGTCCGATTCTCTTTCAGATCTAGAAGGTGCAGCACCTAGACTGCTGCAACATTTACAAGAGAAAGGATGGGCTGTGAACAACACCAAGGTTCAGGGATCTGGTTTGTCTGTTAAATTCTTGGGGGTCATTTGGTCAGGTAAGACCAAAGTTATTCCAGAAGCAGTTATAGACAAAGTCCAGGACTTTCCTACCCCCACAACTGTAACATTACTACAGGAATTTCTGGGTCTTCTAGGCTACTGGAGAGTGTTTATACCGCATTTGGTGCAAATTCTGAAGCCCTTATACCAGTTGGTACAAAAGGGTGTCAGGTGGGACTGGGATGAGACATGTGCCTCTGCCTTTACTAAAGCAAAATGGGCAGTCAAGGCCATACAGGCCTTGAGTGTGATAGACCCATCAAGGCCCTGTGAGCTGGATGTTCATGTCACTGAAGATGGTTATGGCTGGGGTCTCTGGCAGCTGCTTGAATGAACTCGCCAACCCATTGGATTCTGGTCACAACTTTGGAAGAGGGCAGATGTATGATACATTTTGACAGAAAAACAACTGGCTGCTGTGTATCAGCCTTGCTGGCTAGAGAACCCATCACTGGAATGGCCCCGATAAAGGTAATAACCACCTGTCCTATCTTGGGGTGGGTATGAGACTGGACCCAAAAGCCAAGGAGTGGTGTGCCACAAATACCCAACACTAGCCGAGTGGGGTGCTTAGCTACAGCAGTGTAGTGCCCTCTCTAGTAGCCCCTTGAGTGAAGAACTCCAATGCTTGTTGGGGCTGGTGACATATACTAGTGAAAAGCAGAAAGAACTTGCTTTTGAACCATTAGTAGCAGAGAGTCCTTATTGGGAGGGAAGAGCCTCTATACCCGAAGATGCATGGTATACAGATGGTTCCAGCCATGGGCAGCCCCCAAAATGGAGGACCATAGCTTTCCATCCTAAGACTGAGACAATATGGATGGAAGATGGTGAGGGGAAGAGCAACCAATGGGCAGAGTTGCAGGCTGTGTGGCTTGTGATCAGCCAGGAGCCCTCCCCTTTAGTTGTCTGCACTGACAGCTGGGCTGTCTATCGGGGCTTGACCCTGTGGCTACCAACATGGTACCATGCCACCTGGCTGGTTGGTCACTGACCCCTTTGGGGGCAAGAATTATGGCAAGACTTATGGGCCTGTGGTAAGACCAAAATAATTACAGTATACCATGTGACAGGTCATCAGCCACTGGCATCCCCAGGAAATGATGAGGCAGATAAATTGGCC